ACAAAGCCTTTCTGCCTGGCTGCCCTGTCGCACCCCGTTCCGAAGCCAGCGATATCGGTCAGTGGTCTGGTGTTGGAGTGATGGCCAAGTTTCCTGTCAGACGCTTGCCACATTCTTGGCCTTCCTGCATGTACCATTCTGGCCGGCTTGTGTGCTCCTCCTTTTGTGCACATGGCTTGTGGGTTTCTGGTGTTGTGGTCTATGGTACGCCAACTGGACCTACTCACCCAAAAGGTCGTGAAGTTACCAATGAGCTCTTGTCTCAAGCCCTTGACAGAGTTGAACAAATGACAGGTCCTCGGTACATAGCTGGAGACTTCAATCATGACTGGGAGCGCCTCCATACCATCACCTTGATGCACAGGTTGGGTTACCGTGACATCCAAGATCTTGAAGCAGAGCGCACTGGCCGCCTTCCCCAGGCAACCTGCCGTGACAAAACCAGACGGGATTTTTGCTTTGTGTCTCGTGAATTGGCTGCGTTGTTTGTCGGTTGCTGGACAGATGAGGAGGCCGTTGCAGATCATGATTACTTGATTGGCAAGTTCCGTGGAGTTGAGGAAGATGTTTATCGCTTTGCTTGGCCGATCCCTGATGCAATGGAATGGGAACCTGCTGACACCCGAGCCCCTGTGAGAAAGCCCCTTTTTCATGACCCTGAAAGCCTTACGTCAGACTATGCCAGTTTCTGGAAGGAGGTTGAACAATCCAACATGCAAGCCAGGGCTCTTGCCCGCAAACCTGCGATCCGAACCATGACCGGTCGAGCCCAGTTGCTCCAACCTGCCAGGCGTGAAACAAATCAAGCCCCCTTGAAAGCCAGCCGACCTGGTGACAGACAACCTGCGTTTCTTGGTTCCTGCTTGCAGCATGTGCAGTGGACTAAACAGCATCGCAGGTTACAATCGTATGTACGTTTGTGCGCTTCAACCTTGCCTACTGTTGCTCATGTTGTCCACCAGTACCGGTTGTGGTCTGTCATCCGTCAGGCTCGAGGTTTCCTTCCCAGTTTTGAATCTTGGTGGTCCAACCGTGTCCTTGGTGTTGGTGAGCCTGCATGTGTCCCTAGTGACCCGCCGAGCCATGCTGTCGCACTCTTGTTCCTGGCTGGCCTTGACCATGAACTGTCCCAGTTGGAAACTGCGCTCAACCGCTCACGCTCCCATGCCAATCGTATGCACAAAGCCTCTAATGCCCATGCCATGTACAAAGCCGTCAAAAGGGATGCACCAGCCCAAGTTGATTCCCTTGCGTTGCAGCAGACTGGCACTGTTGCTGAAGTCGATGAATGTGAGTGTGCGGTGGTGACTACCGAAGCTGTTTCATGGTATCCAAATGCCCCAATTTTGCATGATGGCCAACCGCTGGAAGTCATCCACTGCGACAGTGACAAACTTTGGTTGAACTCATGCCAATCCATCCAACCAGGTGACGTCCTGACTCAACGCAAGTTGGTTGGCCAGTTGCCTGACTTGTTTCATGCTTTTGAATCTCAGTGGGCGCAGCTTTGGAACAGACATGAGGATGTCCCTCTTTCCCAATGGGACCAAATCATAGCCTTTGCCAGAACACAGCTCCAACGTGTTGATGGAGGCCCGCCTGATGTCTCCGATGCAGCTGTGGTCAGCACCTTACGAAGCAAATCCAAACATGCTGCCACCAGTTTAGATGGGGTTAGCCGTGCCGATTTGTTGGCTCTGTCCCAGCCTGACCTTCGCTTGCTGTGCAAAATATATGAGCATGCCACAACTACAGGATGCTGGCCGGCCCAAACTCTCAAGGGTTATGTGAGGTCCCTTGCCAAGGTCGATGAACCTTCGACAGTTAGCCATTTCAGACCAATTACAGTGTTTTCCAATTTGTATCGCACCTGGTCCTCCCTTGCAGCGAGACATTGGTTGAAGCTGGTCAGTGAGGCCGTTGACCCCCTCCTGTGTGGAAATACTACTGGTGGTCGAGCCGCAATGGTCTGGCGTTACATGTTGGAGCAGATCGAATTGGCTCATCAAAACAACACTGGAGCATGTGGTTTTTCGGCAGATATTGTGAAAGCTTTTAATATCCTGCCACGTCAGCCAGCGTTTGCAGCACTGAAGTTGCTAGGTGTGGACCATGGAACTCTGCTTGCGTGGGCAGGAGCGCTGAGTGGTTTTGTGCGACACTTTATCATCCAGGGCAACTATTCACCAGGTGTCAGCTCGTGCAACGGCTTCCCTGAAGGATGCGCTCTTTCATGCTTGGCTATGTTGTCCCTGACCCAGTTGTTCCATCGATGGATGATTGCGGCCAATGCGATGTTTCAGCCAGTTTCGTACGTTGACAACTGGGGTATCCTTCTGCATTCTGTTGACTATATGCGGCAAGCCTGCCAAGCCTTGGATGCCTTCGCAAACGCCCTCCAATTAGATCTTGATCCTGCCAAATCTTATTGCTGGGCTGCTACCAGAGAGGGACGCAAGCAATTGAGAGACGCAGGCTTTGTTGTGAAACTCCGCAACAGAGAGCTTGGAGCCCATGTTGTCTATTCCCGGCAACTGTCAAACTTCCACCAAGTCGAGCGGTTCCGTCAGCTCGGTGACTTCTGGCAGAAGCTGGCTAGTTGCAAATGCACTTATGCCCAAAAGATCATTCTGATCAAGCGTGTTGCCTGGCCTCGTGCCTTCCATGCCGTCGCAGCAGTAGTAGTTGGCCGTAAGCACTTTGCAGGACTTCGAACAGCAGTGATGCAATCCCTCAGACTGCAAAAACCAGGAGCCAATCCAGAGTTGCAATGTAGCCTCGAAGGTGAAGCTTTTGACCCCATGCTGTTTGCTGCTTTTGAAACGGTCCGTGATGCAAGAAGCCTCTGTGATGCACAATCGGTCGCAGCTGATTTGCAAGTGGCGCTGTTCGATCATGAAGTCCCGGAGCATAATTCGGTTTCTGAAATCCTTGGCCAGCGCCTCCACAAAATTGGCTTCACAGTGCAACCCGATGCCCAAGTAGTTGATGCCATCGGACCCCTAGACTTCCTGCAGTGCCCGTTGCAAGAGTTTGTTTTGCGTGCCCAGTGGACTTGGACACAGGTTCTTGCCAGTTTTGTCCAGCACCGTAGTTCCTTCCGTGGCTTTGAGCAAGTTGATCTGCCAGCAACCAGACACGCCTATGCCAAATTCCCGGCGTATGAACAAGGTATCCTTCGAAAACATCTCCATGGAGCTTCCTTCACAAATGAGTTTGTTCAGCATTGGTCTGTGTCCGGATCGGCTCTGTGTGCCCATTGCCAAGGTGTTGACTCTATCCACCACCGCCTGTGGCATTGCCCTGCTACAGAACATCTCCGGGATGTCATCCCTCATGATGTCCAGCTTGAACTTGATCACATGCCTCGTGTGGTCACGGAACATGGATGGATTTTGAGGTCCCCACTTGCTGACGCATGGTACCAATACCTTGCCACTATCCCTAGAGAGGTTACGTTCATCTTGCCTGGGTCCCATACTGGAATTTTGGACTTGTTCACAGATGGTTCCTGCCTGTTTCCCCGTGAGAGTGCCTACAGGGTAGCCAGTTGGGCCGTTGTGCTTGCCCCCCCGTTTGGTCTCAGTGTATCCCAAAAGGAATATGTTCCAGTTGCTGCCCAGCCCCTTGCTGGAATCCTCCAAACGGCATACCGAGCTGAACTCACTGCTGTGATTGCTGCCATCCGTTTTGCCGTGCAGACCCATGCCTTTGTCCGTATCTGGTCCGACTGTCTCGGTGTCATCAGAGCCTTTCGGAAGTATGTCACTGAAGCTAGACAAGTGCGTCCGAACGGAAAAAATGCAGACCTGCTGATGCAACTTCAACAAGTTTCTGCCCAGCTTGGATCGACCAAGATCGCCCTGCTGAAAGTCCCTGCTCATGAGGACCGTCGGCTGTTTGACAGTGATGTTGAGCGTTGGCTTGTCGATGGCAACAACGCAGTTGACCGTGCAGCAGCCCTAGCCAACCAAACTCGACCTGAAGCCATCTGGAACCTTTGGAGCGCCTATGTCGATCAGGTCTGTCGCAACAGTCATGTGTCTGCCTGGGTCCAGTCCCATATCGTCGCTGTCGGTCGCCTGTGGAGCCAGTCGGTATGTACTCCCGAGCCCAGTGTCCCACCACCGCCGCGTCCAGTCCGGTCATCCAATAGGCATCCGACCTTAATCTGGGAGGACCCTTTCCACCTGGAATTGCAGTGTCCGACGTTTCGCAAGTTTTTTGGGACCCCTTTAGCGGTTGCTGTACATAGCTGGTTGACCTCCGTCCGTGACTTGGCACAACCGTTAAAGTGGGTCTCCTTTTTGCAGCTCTACATTAGTTTCCGTCGCCACCAGGGTGCTTGGTATATCACCAAGGAGGCGGGCAAATGGGTCGCTGAACATGGCACCCAAGCTGAGCTGGCGAACCACACCCGTTTGAATGTCCGGGTCAAGCACTTCCGGCTCATGCTGCAGCAGTACTTCCGTGACGCCAAAGTGCGCTGTAGCTGTGCAACCGTGAGGCCGACGAGTCATTGGATAGCTTGTTTCAGGGGTTCTGTTGGTTTTCATCTGTCCCAACAGGAGTTTCAGGCTGTTGAAAGCGTTTTCGCTCGGCAACTCACGGCACCAGCTACTGGAGCGGGGAAGGTGCTTGAACTTTTGAGGGGGGTCTGAGATTCCACTGCACGGCCGTAGCTGCGCGTCCCACTTCGGCAGCAGTGCGCTCAGAGCAAAAAAACATTTTTTATTTTCCATAATATATGGAATAATCCTTCCCATTTACTTTCATATTTTTCACGATGGTTAAAACCACCAACCAGCTAGAATCATCAACCATCATTGGATCATTGATTAACCATCAGAATGGGAATATCATTGGCATATACTAATCCAAGCAGAGAATCCAGTAAATCAATGATAAATCCTCATTCTTGGTGGTTAAATGCCAGTAGATCCACCATTCATTAGTTCAATCTACTAAGCCTTCATTTGTTCTTCAGCAGATTTAGCCAGGACTTGGAGTCCGTGGTGGAGTTGGAGCCGGAGAATGCGGACGCACGCCACAAGTTGGCGGAGATTCTGCACCTTGGGCCTCGATGGGGGTTTTCCGAAATTTGGAGCAATTTTGTTGACCAATTTGAAGATTTACATTACATATATGATATTATATGATATATGATGGGAAGAAAATTCTTGGACCTTTTTTTGAAGATTTGCTTCCCATCGTTCATGTGGGATGTTGTTTTCATTTCTTGCTGATTGGTGCCCGATGTTTCATGACTTACCCTCTGGTAATTTAACATAGTTATGGAAAATCACCATTTTCAATGGGTAAATCCACTATAAATGGTCATTTTCAATAGCTATGTTAAATTACCAGAGGGTATCGAACCAATCCTGTTGGGATGGTGGACCAATGGTGGACGCCACTTCGAACCAGGAAGCAGCTTCGAGCCAATCGAACCGCAGAGAAGGACGCGACGCGTTCAGCCTGGCGTTCAGCCGGCGTTCATTGACCTCAATCAGTGAGAGATGTTCCCGATATAATATTTATATATATATACAGTTTTATATATCACACATATACATTATATTATTAATATTATGTAATATATATATATGTAATAATCAAACTATTTGGTATATGTGGGATGTTTGGTGGGGTGTTTTGACATGAATGGATGCAATTAGTGGATAGATTTCAGTGAAGATCGCCATTTTTTTTAATCGCAGCATCCATAGATCCCATCACCAGGAGCAGGCCGACAAGCTTCGGGGCTTCTTGCGCGGTGAGCGCATTGATGACACCGTGCCCATCACAGAGGATGCTTGGAGCTAAAACCCACTGAAATCCACTAAACATCCACTGAAAGCCATGGGTTTGATGGTTAACATATGGAAAAAAAAAAACATATTTTTGTGGTAAAACCAAAGTCTTGTCACAAAAAGTTGGCTGTTGATATTGAAAACATGTGGAAATCCAAGGATGGCAGCGTCCGGAAACTGCATGGCAACGAAAACTCGCCACTCTTTGCCTCGTGGATCAAACGTGACATGACTCTTAGCGCTGATGATTTTCCCCATGTCCGACATGTTGAATGTTGAAACCCTAAGATATCTTTGTCGTCATCATTGCATGTCTATGTCATCATGACGACATTTGCACACTTATTGTTTGGCTATAGAGTATTTTATGTTTGTGGAGGCTCCAGTATGCTCCAGATCTTGAAATTATGGCTGTGATAATTCACATGTTCATTCATGTTCAATGTTCACGGTTTGAAAGCAGCGGTTTCTTATAGATCCATTGCTCCGGATGCGCAACCTCCCAGGGGAAAGCCGTCACGAGGATGATGGTTAAGTATGGTTAAGTTATGAAGGGGCATCCCAAAATATCTCTGTTGCAGGTTCGTGTGTTACTATGATTTACCATAATTTATTGAACAAGTATATACATATATATATACATAATATAATATATATATATACACATATTTACATACATATGAAAATGCATCAACCATCCGACTATTGAAATACCAATTGGCACCATTGGTGAATCATCCATCAATATCCTTGCGCATATGGATTGGTGTTTTCAAGCATAAATCCAATCCATTTTAGCACAAAAACTTCCCCCAAAAAACTGACTGACCAGGCGCCTGGCTGGAAGAGAAGAGTGGCGTGGTCGGCGTGCTCACCTGTCATGTGGTCATGAAGACCCCCGCGGGGAAGGACTGGCAGCGCTGCCGTTCCGGTGCGTTGCGTTGACGACTACCATTGGGTTTCAAGAAAAATGCCCATGGGAAACTCCATCGTTTCAGAATGTTTCAGATTTGGGGTGTCATTTGGAACCATGCCTGAACCCATAGGATCCATGTATGGTATATATGCTAACATCGGGGTATATTGATGGTAAATGTTACCATATATAGCATACATGGATCCTATGGGGAATAAACTTGACTTGACTATAATCGTGTTTAGTTGTGGTATAATTAGTATAGTCAATCTATGGAGGGCGCAGAGTTTGGCACATAGATCCAGGGAGCCACCAACAAACCATCTATCCTGGGACACACCTACAATCCTCACACCAACCACTTAGACCCATTGTTTCGGAAAAAAACGTGTCCTGATGGTGAAAGTGTCCGCCCAGTGCTGGAAAACAAGTTTGATTGGTAGGGATTTGGTCTTTTGATGCTATTCCACGGGATTTCCATTCCCTTTACGCCCCCTTACTGGTAATATGTTGTAATGACATTCCTGTGCTTGTCCAAGTTTCCATTCTCGTTCGGTCCAATTTCCCTGCACCACGTCCTTGCCAAGCTGCTTGGTACAGTGACAGTAGATATGCTATTTGTCGAATTTGGAGGACAAAAATATATTTGGGCTTGGTTGGTTTTCCATGTCAGAGATCGGAGTTCAGTATACATTCATTTGGTGGAGCAGCACTGACCTGTTAGATTTTGGGGCTGAATAAGTTATGATTATTTTTCTAATTACACTGCGCAGGTCATTACAATAAACAAACTTATGTTGCGAGACGCAGTAAGAAAGCCATCCCACTTCTACCAGAAATCTGTGGTACAGTGGTACATACATCATTCCTGGAATCATTCCTCTAAGAGAAATGTATGCTACATACATCATTCCAATTATTTAACATAGCCATGGGAAATGGCCCATTTATAGATGGTTTACCTATTAAAAATTGTGATTTTCCATGGCTATGTTAGTCATAACCAGATGGGATTTGCCACGTCCACCGCCTCATGACCTTCAACCAGGAGCTGCTGAACACGCGGAAGCCCCCGGGCGCCCTCTCCACTGAGCTTGGTGCGACAGCCATGCAGGGCCCCCGCGCCGCCGAGCGACCGGCCGAGCCGGCACGCTGGGTCATGGACGATGCCTGGGGCGCGGTGTTCAAAGGATGGCAACTCGACAATGCCATCAACAGAATGAACATGGGTCATTAAATGTCCCCGTTGAGCATCACCCAACCATTAGGTATATGGTCTATAATGGCTACTATAAGGTGATGTCCGATATTCCCAAACCCCTGATCAACAGAATGACACACAACTCAGATGATCCTGTTCGCCTTGCTGGGGGTAATTTCACCCATATCTTCAAGGCAAAGAATCCCATGAAAACTGAGGAACAGCGCGGGCAAAACGCTGCAGCTCTATGAGTTGGGGAAATTTGAAGTCGCACGACATCAGATGGGACCTTCAGCGGCTTGGCTGGGGTTCTTTGCCTTGCATGATGGTTCACCCACTTGGGGAAACTTGTGACATCTTGTGACCATGTACAATCACTCCACCAATGGTCTCCATGTGTTTGAGCCGGCCATACCGGCTCTTTGGCGTTCTGCCTTTGTGGATTTGTCTTGGTGGTTTGTCATGTGGGGATGGTTGGATACATAGTTTCTGGATGCTTCTTTTTTGGCTTTACCACAAAAACGTGTCCTAAGATTGTCCCCTTCCCCCTTACTGTGGATGCAAAATCATCAGTTGCTATTGGGATTTAACATGTTCAACGCAAATTTACTTATGTAAGTATTAATGTTTCTTTCTCTCTCTCTTTCTCTCTCCTTGTGTCTCAGCCAAAAAGCGTAAATTTCATCGGATTTTGTCCATCTCCATCTCTGGGCTATTGGATTTGTAAAAAATCCATGATTTTTCCAATTTTCTATAGGATTTTCCTGATTTTCCATGATTTGTCCAACTTTCCAATGGGATTTTTGTTCGGATGCCGAAATGTCCAGGTGGAGCCCAGCGTGCGCCGTTGCCTCCGGACCTGGCTCGGCGACCGCGAGGCGCAGCGCCGGATCTACGGCGACCTGGACGAGGCCGCACGGTCTGCGGCGCTGCGACGGCAGGCGGTGCAGATCTTGGGATTTCCCGAGGAGTTCTGCCTGGAGGAGGAGCCATTTGGCATGGGAATTTGGCATGGGAAAATCTGGGAAAACCATGGGAAAAGCATGGGAAAACACAGTTAACATATATTAAAACATTATTAAAACATCACAAATCAGATCTAAAAATGGTGATTAGTGATTGAATGGGAATTATGATTGTTTTTTTTGGGAAGCATATGATCGTTTTTTGTGTTTTTTTTTGGGGGGGTGGGTTAACTTGAAATCTAACTGAGTAGGATCGCCTGAGTTTTGGATATAATTGGGAATCATGTGGGTTTGTGGCTTTAACAAAACTCAGGATTAAGTCTCGGGATAAGGGATGGGGATGTTGACCTTGTTGTGGTGATGTTTTCTGGGGAGGTGGTTAAATGTATTGGGTGTCTTGGGGGGTATCATGGCAAAGGTATGAAAAGGTAGTAAGCACCAGTATGGAGTTCGGCTTGGAAGAGCGTCCTACTATAGTTCGATGGGCTGCGCAACATGTGACAAAGATACTGTAATCAGAGCTACAGGTTTCACAACTTACACAAACTTGCCAGTTTCGAACATGTCGCAAACCACCATGAAATATCAAAACTCCAGGCTTCACACCCCCTGCCTGACCACTGTGGCAAAATTTAGGGGCGACAAGCTGTGAGACCACTGCATGTTGAGTAAGGACTAAATTTAACAGGTTTGAGATCACTTCCACACGACAACTTTTTCCCATTCCTGCACCAAGGACTGATTCAGGGTCCACCTTGACCATGGAGATGGAATTGCTGGAATCCTCTGAGTTTGTGGATGTAGACGGTGATGGCAAATATCTCCTCCAAACCATCAAGGAAGGCAAGGCTGGTGGTGCCATGGTGAGAGAGACTGGGCAGCAACATCAGCTGATGGTCGTTAATCTGTTCCTATTCCTACTTGGTTTCTTGATGGACTGTCCATGGTCGATTTGTTCTTGCTTTTGCCCTTGTCCCCAACGATCTTCTCAATTTGATACCAGTTAGGTATGGGTCAAAATTGAAGACAATCTGGCCGCAACCCAAAATGTATGGCCAGGTTTGGCACGCACCATTTGTTTCTGGAGGCATGCAATGTTGAGAATGTTTTAGCCAGTTTTAGCCATTCCCACTGGGCCAATGTGGGAGTTGGACAGCGACCAGGAAATGTCGACGATCCATGCGCATTTCAGAATAGCCAAGCTCCTCATGAACTATGCCCTGAAAGACACCAGAATCTTGGATTTTGCACCTTCAAAACCAGGGTTGACCATGATTATCCTCTCAACAGGCCCTATTGAAGCAACAATGCAAGGGACACCTTGGATTCTAGGAGGCCCTGATGAATTTTCGGTCAGGGATGTCTCGAATGATCTCAAATGTCTTGTCACCTCTCATCTTCAACAAATCATAGGTTCACCTGTGTGATTTTTGTCAAACAAAATCAAGATTCCATCCAATTACTTTACTTCGTGTGATCCCAACCATGACATTTATACATTTTCTTACTGGCAAATCTTCTGGCATTCTATCTGACATATCTTCTGACATTCTATTTGACATTCTATCTGGCATATCTTCTGGCATATGATCTGGCATATCTTCTGGCATATCTTCTGGCATTCTATCTGACAAATCTTCTGGCATTCTATCTGGCATATCTTCTGGCACTCTATCTGACATATCTTCTGGCATTCTATCTGGCATATCTTCTGGCATATATTCTGACATATCTTCTGGCATTCTATCTGACATATCTTCTGGCATATATTCTGACATATCTTCTGGCATATCTTCTGGCATATCTTCTGGCATATCTTCTGGCATATCTATCTGGCATATCTTCTGGCATATTTTCTGGCATTCTATCTGGCAAATCTTCTGGCATTCTATCTGGCATTCTATCTGGCATATCTTCTGGCATATTATCTGGCATTCTATCTGGCATATCTTCTGGCATATATTCTGACATATCTTCTGGCATTCTATCTGGCATTCTATTTGGCTTCTTGGCATATCTTCTGGCATTCTTTCTGACATTCTTTCTAACTTTCTTCTGCACATTCTTTGTCCCATATCTTCCTACATGAGGTCCGGCAGGGAACACTTGGCGTGGATACTCGCGGTTGAGGTCCGGCAGGGAACACTGGGCGTGGATGGTCGTGGTTGAGGTCCGGCAGGGAACACTGGGCGAGGATGGTCGTGGTTGAGGTCCGGCAGGGAACATTGGGCGTGGATGGTCGTGGTTGAGGTCCGGCAGGGAACACTGGGCGTGGATGGTCGTGGTTGAGGTCCGGCAGAGAACACTGTGGATCGCGGGTCGCAGTTGAGCAAGGACGACGAGGACGACGAGGACGACGAGGAGGACGAGGAGGAGGAGGACGACGAGGAGGACGAGGAGGAGGAGGAGAGGAGGAGGAGGAGAAGGAGGAGGAGGAGGCAACTGACATAAAATCTAACAACCCTCACCTGGCAGGTGGGGAAAAATCATCCAAAGTCCCTTCCAAATCCAATTTATAGTGGATTCACCCATTAAAAATGATGATTTTCCATAGTTTTTTGTATGTTTACCAGAGGGTAACACCAGCAGTCCCTGTTTCCCACCTGGCACCAGGACTGGGCTTGGCCAATGGCGCGAATGGCCTGGTCCTGCGCGCAGACCGTAGCAAGGAACCGGTGGAATTTGTGTCGCCTGGTGGCGAATTCACTGAGTGAATTAAAAAAAGGCCATTAGAATTGCAAAGTGGATACTGTAGGTTTAATTAAGCCACTCTATATATATATAGAGAGAGATATGAATAAATAAATAAATATATAAATAAATATAAATATATATATATATATCGTAGGGCGTAGTCTAACAAAGACTTCCGTACTCCAGACAGAAAAAAAGAAAAATACATAAATAAAGAACTATATATATATATGATATATGTATTTAAGTCAATGGGATAGAACCCCCCCAAATAAACCTATATTCAGTGATTTTCATGGGTTTGAATGGGGATATCCACCTGCAAATCCAAGTAATTATGATAGATATGGATTGGGGCAGCAATGGGACTCCCGAAAACAAGATGCAACAATTGGTTTAACCAGTGCAGATGAGGATACATGGAATATAGTGGGAATAGGATTGGGGAAAAAAAGGATCCTTGGGAAACGACATGCAAATGGGATGTTTCCTGGGGTGGATATGACCAATAATGATGGGGATATAAGTGGGAGTTAATGAACATGGCTGGCTACTAAAATCATCTAAAATCTAAAGCTGGGCATTTTACTTGGGAAATCATCAAACTTTTACTTGGGGTTTAACCAATGACTATGTTTGGAAGATGATGCAACCCTTACGAGTGAAAACCTACCAACAACATGTAGACAGCTTAAACACGCATTTCGTTGTATCTTTGCACTTTGTTTGATCACTCCATATGGTAACAAGTCAAGCTGGTTGATTTGTTTTGCAACCCTGACACCATTTTGTAGAAAATGGTCGGTCATTGTACGTCAAAAGGAGGAAAAAATCCTCCTGCTGGTGGCGACCATTGGCTACCGCCCCATGCGACCGTCTCCCAGGTTAGGGGAAGAGCTTTGTGCCTCTGAGGGTGATTTTGTCCCTCCCTGCGTGGGGCAGTGCTTGAAGCTTTATCCAGGCGAGGTCCTTTCAACCGCGGCAGTTGGCAGTTGGGAGATGATCAGAGCTATTTGAAAGGTATATGAGCCCTCGAAAACACTTGATTTGGAAGATGATTTCCCACTAGAAAATACTAGTTTTTTTTTTGCACAAGCACACTGATCCTTTCCGGTGCGGCTCGCCTATATATATATAATTATATATATATATAATTATATATATATATAGTATTATAGTTAAATAGTTGTACTTCTGGCTTTAGAGATACTTAGAGATGTGTTTCTATTGCTTTTTGGTGGGCCAAAATTGTGGGCTCCGCAAGCTCCGTGGATCTGCCAGGCCCTGTGACTGAGGGCACTCATTTTGAGATGATTCTGCGCGACGCCTGGACGACTCGGACTGGGGAAATGAGAAAAATCCCGAAATTTGGATCATCAAACGGATCCATGGTGCTGGTATATATGCATATATACACATACATATATATATATATGCTAACATTTGGGGTATATTGATGGGATCCATGTTACCAGATATAGCAGCACCATGGATCCTATGGGAATGAATGATCAATATACTGGTGGTTTGGAACATTTTTTATTTTCCCCAATAGTTGGGATGATGATCCAATCTGACTAATATTTTCAGGGGTTGTGAAACCACCAATTAGTATAGTTAGCTCCTGTAAATTTTACCATGTCCGAGGCTAGCCCGTTTTTTGTAGACCTTTGAGCTCCGACAAGACTTCAGAGTTTGAGATCCATTTGGAAGGGTAATTTTGAAGATCCACGCCCATCAAACAGCATCAATACCCATCAAATCACCATAAATGCCCCAAGTGTCACCGCAAGGGCTGTGCTTTGCCCATTTCGTTCCGGGAGATGTTTTTGTTGATCGCCGGAAAGTTCGCGCGGGAGATGCCTTTTGCCCAGGATGGTGTGCCCATCCGCGAAATGGAGAAGGACATCCACAGTGCCTTCAGTGACTGGGTCGATGGGTTGACCACATACCTGCTCCATGTATGGTATATTTACCAACATTTGCCCTAAAAATCACCCAAATGTAGGTAAATATTCCAGCACCATGGAGCATATGGGATATTGAACGACACATTTTTGGACGGAGAGCAAACCACAATTTACAATAGCATGAGTCAGCATGAGTCGATTGAAGGAGTTTCAAGGATATAGACTTTGGGAAGTGATTATTTTGAACATTGTTGTGCAGTTATACATGTCCCCATCGCAATCCAGAATGTCTAATCGAAGATGTTGAATCCAGCATTCTGATAGAGTTTTCATTTCAGGCGTTATTCTTGGTGGATCTCTGCTAAGTTTTAGGAAAGCCTTTCATCTCTCTTGACTTTGGCCCGTGCAAAAATTGCCTATATATATAGACTGATGATGTAGATGATTCCCTGTTTGTCAGTTCACTTAAGTGCTTCATTCAATTTATATGTCTTTCAATGCTTGCACCATGTGCGCTAAAGCAGCTGCGCCAGGCTGACATCAGCATCATCTCCATCACTGGAATCACAGGAATCAATGTAGCTTTCAGGAAACCATTGTTTTGCATTTGGCATTATATCGTCATAATTGTATGGCTTTGAACTTCATGCGTGAAATTTTGTGTTTACCCCTATGCCTAAAAAATGGATCCCTACTTGGAGGTGCATTCCAGATAGGAAGTAGTTTTTATAAGTTTTTCATCCAGCTATCTCTTTCAAAATCCACTTAGTACCCTTTGAATCCCTCTGGGGATTTGACAGTTTGCGAATTGGACTATCACCATGTTTAATAGGTAAACCACGGTAAATCATCAAACTAAATGGTCGATCGATATCTATACCATAGCAACCGATTAGATGACAAGAGATCAGAGTCTCAAGCTATTCCTCATTAGCTAATATCCCTACGATTCCCTATGTTTGTTGGTTCATTCATGTTCAATCACTATTAAAGCCAAGTATTAAATCTCCATAACTGGTTGGTGGTTTGGAACATTTGTATACATTTGTTATTTTTCCATATATTGGGAATGTCATCATCCCAACTGACTTTCGCATATTTTTCAGAGGGGTAGGTCAACCACCAACCAAATAAAGTCCCAGTAAAGAAATCAGAACCAAATCAGACTCCAGCCATCACCGCGCGAGGTGATGGCCGCTATGCTGGCTTGCCGGACACCAGCGGCCCCGTGTGCATCCGGATCGAGGTCGAGAAGGCCAAACTCTCGGTGGAACCACCGAGGATTTTTTTTGTTGGGATTCAACCAGCCGACACGAATTCAACCTTGGGAAATCTGTGGAGAATGGATTGAATATATTACCCAATTATAGTGAGTTTTCCCATTAAAAATGGTGATTTTCTATAGTTATGGGACAGTTTACCAGAGGGTACTGGAAAATAGGTTTTACACTTATCAAACTCGGGTTTTAGATGCTTGAATCATTGACGTCATTAAGGTGGAAATTGATGGGGAGATAAAGTGGGTAAAATTGGCCAAAGATAAAACATGTGGGGAAGCTAAGGTGGTTTAACAATAGCTATCACATGCTATCACGGCACACCCGGTACACAGATGGGTCATTGCAGACAATGCCCTTTCACCTCCAATGTCAACCCGACTTCTAGATTTTGGGAATGCGACAAGGACCCCCAGGCAGTGTAGGCAAATGTACTGATTTGCAAGACATTATTTTTCAGTGCCACCGTAGCCTATGAAAGGGCAGCTCACTGTTTGGTAAGGTCTGTGCGATATATTCATATTCATGACTTCATTGATCCGTTCAAGTTAGCTGTTGATCTCGTATTCGGCCGGGCGTGCCACAAGGGATAAAGAATGGTATAAGAGGTTTCTGACTCGTGCCCTTGTTGATGTATGCCGATTCTTTCCGTCTTTATCTTAGGGGTTGTCCCGGCGAAAAATGTGGCAAGTGTTTGCCCATATACTGTATATCTATATATAGTTCCTTTTTGTTTCGGCTTGTTTCGGCTGGAAGGATCCGACCAGCAGAGCATTGCCTATATCCCAGGCTGCCTGGGATCCCAGGTCACTCCAGCTTGTGAAGGACCAGCAGACCGTCAATGGAAGGGCTTGGCTCCTCGGCAGAGTGGTGGCACAGCTATGTTTGGTGTCAATGTTTGAAGGTCGATATTCTCGCTGTTTGATACGACGTTACGACATGCAAAAACACGTGGATTGACCGTAAAAAATCTTCCCATTGAATCTCCCAAAACATCATAAAACCGCTATTGTCGCCTCACCAAGGAGACCCTGGTAGCCGAACGTCGCCGTGCTGAAGCCCTGGAAGCTCTGGAGGAGGGACGTCACAGGGAAGCGGCGCTGCGACGCTGGCGGCGGATTCTCAGGTGAGGTTGTGGCAGGGGGGATTCTATTGGGAATGGTGGGATTTTGATGATTTATTATATGGAGATTATACTGGATGATTTATAGAGATTGTATATGCTGAAAGTGGTTGGTGGAATCAACTGATCAATGCTAAGATAATGATGAAAAATACCTTGCCGAAATCACCAATTCATAAATGATAGAGAGAGATTGCACTCTGGAAAATTAATAGTAAGACCCTGATTTTTTTTTTCGTGGAAACTAATCAAACCCTTATCTGGCAGGGTTTATGTTAATTTACTGGAGGGTACATATCATGTAATATAGGACAAGATAAACGTTTACATCGTGGAAAAACCATCAGGAAACCTGTTCGGAAAATTATCTACAAATGGTAGGTTTTCCACATCTATGTTTTTTCCTTGATGGAGGGTGACTGGCAGTTCGTGAGGGTTTGCCCTCAAACATGGCAATTGGAAATCTCCTATAAAAGGACGTTTCTAGCTGGAAACATTACCTCTAGAAATGGTTGATTCTCCATTGACATGTTTGATTGCCAGAGGGCATTTATAATCTTAGGGGTTTAGTTGGAATATTGATTAAGGCGAATATGCAATGTGCTATACAACCATATCTATCTATCCACATATAGTATATATTTATATACTGTATATTTCCAGTTTGGGTGTATCTGAACCTGGTGTGAAACCAGTGGATGGACAAGATTATCCTATTTACACAACAGGGGATTTGATGGGATATAGCCATGAAGCATACCCTCTGGTAAACTAACATAACTATGGAAAACACAATTTTTGATGGGAAAACTCACTATAAATGGCCATTTCAATAGCTATGTTAAATTACCAGGGGGTAGGATTTAACCATGGTCCGTGCCTCAGCTGTACACGCGAACTCTGACTCAGCTGTACGAGCGTAAACGATCTCGCGTGCGCATGCGGGACGTGCTCGCGGCACACGGATAATGGACCTCAGCCATACACGCGAAATGGAACTCAGCCATGCACGCGGGAAGACATGTGTGGTGACCGCATGTTGGATGACGACACATAGGCAACGTCGCACGGTAGAGGAATTTCTCTTGCACTTGGAGACACTCGATGCTACACTCGAAGCCCTTCTTACATGAAGTGCTGCAACATGTAAAGCCCTAAAGGTGTTGTGGCGCTTCTGACATTAATTACAACAATATATGAACCCTAAAGATGCCGTGGCTCTTCTTACATTAAGTGCAAAATCATAGATAAAATCCCAAAGGTGTCGTGGTCGTGGCATGTGCACCGACGAGTTCGATCTGCGTGGCTGAGGCATTTACCTTTAACCATGGAAATGTTTGCGGATAACCAAAGGTTTTTGTTGGGGATGCCATCGGAAATATCATGGGATATCTGACATTATTTGACCAACTATTGCCAGGTTGGATTTGTCCGAAAGTTTAGTGGAATCCCCATTCTATCCACTGGTATCCGCTTGTTAATCCAACCTGGCAAACCATGTTCCCCGTAAAATGTAAAATCGCAGAACATAGGGACCACAAAATGAATAGATCCAATTGTCAACCAAGGCTTCTATGGGTAGGTACTTCCTTCTAGGGCAAGATTGGGGAATGGATTTAGTTCCGTTATATATATATATATGTCCAATTGTATCCCCACCGAGATTAAGAAAATACACCTAGACCCTCCAAGTACCCGTAATAATGGTGTTTTAACAATTAACTCGTTATTTGAGTACGTTGGCACTTTTGCCTAGGTCCGCAAATCAACTAGGTGTTTACTCATCCCTGATTGCAGCTCCAATAGCCCGCAGGTGGTTTGATGAGATTTTTGCAAGCCGCCGATGGAAAACCCAGGGTGCTAAGACCGGCATCCTGGCAGCCTTGCTTTTTTTGGGAAACGACATGCCAATTTGTCAGCTAAATCATCGAACCAACATTCACCAACCAAAAATGTCAGCTAAATCATCGAACATGGCTGGGAAGCACCAGCGTCTCCGCTCATCCCACATCAACCCAGGTGACAGCATGTACGACCTCCAATGGGACGACGACTCTGCTCCAGCGCAATTGGCGGCGCCGTTCCAGTTCACAGCGGAGGCGGCGGAGGCCGAGTGGCTGGAACAGCGGACGGCGACGGTGGAGAAAATGCCGCAAGGGATGGAAGTGGAGGCTCTTGGGGCGGAAAAGGGGTAATTAATTATGGTTGGTCTATGGTGGGTTAAATTATAATCACAGATGAGGACGAGGATGAAGATGAAGATGAGAATGGTTGTGATGATGATGATGATGATGATGGTGATGATGATGATGGTTGTGATGATGGTGGTGCTGGTGATGGTGGTGCTGGTGATGATGAAAATGATGATGATGATGATGATGCTGGTGATGATGATGGTGATGGTGATGATGATGATTGTGATGATGATGACGATGATGATGATGATGGTGATGATGATGATGATGGTGATGATGATGATGATGATGATGATGATGGCGATGAGGATGACATTGATGATGATGATGATGATGTTGATGATGGTGATGGTGCTGGTGATGATGATGATGGTGTTGATGATGATGATGATGATGATGGTGGTGATTGTGATGATGATGATGATGGAATGATGATGGTGATGAGGATGACGTTGATGATGATAATGATGATGATGGTGATGATGATGATGATGGTGCTGGTGCTGAAGATGATGATGATGTTGATGATGGTGATGGTGATCGTGCTGATGATGATGATGATGGTGGTGAGGGAGATGATGATGATGATGATGATGATGATGGTGCTGATGGTGCTGCTGCTGATGATGATGATGGTGGGGATGATGATGATGATGATGGTGATGATGATGATGATAGTGGTGATGGTGATGATGGTGATGATGATGATGATAATGATGGTGATGATGATGGTGATGGTGATGATGATGATGATGCTGCTGATGATGGCAATGATGGCAATGTTGGTGATGATGATGATGGTGATGATGATGATGGTGATGGTGCTGGTGATGATGATGATGGTGATGATGATGATGATGATGATGTCATGTTTTTATATTCTTATCATTTTATATTCAGTATATTGGGGATTGGGGGGGTCGCCTTTTGGGGTCTTATCCCACCATATCTCATCGTATCGCCATGACGTGGTTGGTTTTATACCCCAAATGTTGTGGGTGAAATCTCCGTTTATAGCATATTGGGTTTGCTAAGAACTTTCTGAACTTAGAAAACCACCAGGTATCCCGGCGGTTCTTGGTTGCAGAATGTTACATGTCCTAATATCCCCATTATGTTTCCGATTATCCCTGCATGTGACATTTGATGGTTAAGTTTCCCATGGTCAAGTTGAAATTGGAAATTAATATGGAATACATAATGAAATATAATTATATAATAAGAAATCAAAAAAACACACCATACCATTGAGTCTGGCTAAGTTAAGTTGCCACAAGTATCACATAAAAACAAATATCTATCTATCTATATATATATCTATCTATATATATATAGGCACTTAAAACTGCCAGATATAAACTATATCTAAAAATCAATATATTTTATGGATTTTTTAGTCCTCGTGTAAATTCTTTTGGGTTTCCGTATGCGTCACCGGGGGGATCCTCGTCCCCGGCAGGACGCCCTGCTGCAGCAGCTGTCGCCCGACGAGCTGCGCGAGTTCGCCGCGGCGCACGCGGCCTGCGCCGAGCTGCTGGGCTCGGGCGCCTCGGGCGCCTCGCAGCATGGCAGGCGGGGCTGCGGAAGTTGATGGAAGTTGGCAACAAAAAAGGTGTCTGAAAATGGGGTAATGTGGGTAAAACATGGTAAAACAATGTCATAACTCATAACCGTCATAACCCCCAAATCGCCATAGGTTGTAGAAACCATTCCCTTAAATGGGTGGTTTATTATTGGTATGCCCAAAATTTTGATGGTTTGATTGATGATGTTTATCATGGTTTTGCTCCCACAATATAGCATTGCAAGTTTCGGGGTGTATTTTTTTGCGGGGGAAGAACCCATGATCATGTATGTGGTATTTGTTTTTTTTTTGTGGGTTGATGATGGTTGATGTTAAGACGTGTGCATGTACTGTAGTTGTTTTATCACTTCAGAACCCAATGGATGCCGAACGCCACTGCAATTTAAAACGGTTCAACTTGGTGGAAAAGTGAATGAACGTGCTTATTTTTGACACATTCGCGGTCGTTTTTTTTTGCCGTGTTTGAAACATGTTGCCGTCACTGTCATGAACCCTGTGGCCTTTCGCAAATCCTGAGTACAGCTTCAGATCCCCAGCGTCAGGTGTGCGGTTCAAGCCTGCAAGCTTACGACTGTGCCCGTGGAACCTTGTCTGCAGACATGTTGATTACCCATATCCGAAATCCTTACTGTTTACCCACGATTTTGCAACCCCTCCAGTTTGTTCATAGAGGTGGGTACCAAGTTTAATTGTATCTTATCACTCGTGTGGCGGTACACCCCCATGTAATAGTATGTAATAGTCCGGCTTTATTAATTCAAGGTCCACATGGTGGTTCCATTTACCCAAGTCTGGGAGGTGAACGTGGGATCTTGGAATGACCCCAATGATGGTTTGAATTTGGTGGATGATTTACCAGCCATCTTACTATCTTGTACCTGTTCGGGTTTTGGTCCAATACTGCTGGAAATTTCTGCATAATATGAATAGTCTATCCTGTTCAACTCCGTGAGTAATCTATGAGTCGTAGCTGGGGATTTCGCCTCAGACTCTGGTAATCAAACATGGCGTGCTGGAAAATCCACTCTTTATCGATAATTGTCCCATTAAACCCCGATGTATACATGCCGATTGAAATGTTTGATTACTTAAGGCTAAATCCATTCATATCCCATGATTATCTCATGGTTACCCCTATTAAACCACATGTTCAAACCCATGTTAAACTACCAATATGTCGCATCCCGCAGTGGTTGATGCTTAAACGATCTTGAACTATCATTTTTTAATGGAATGATCATGAAATCACAATTTTTGCCGGTGATTTTGTTTTTTTTTAACCAGTTTTTGCTGGTGAAACCGCAGTTTTCATGCAATTCTTCGTAGGTTTTGGGTGGTGAAACGACCATTTTTCACCATTTTGGATGCTACTTCCAGCCGCGTCACTGCAGCACAGGCTGTAGAGGTCCGCGGCCGCTCGGCGTTGGCTTGGCGTTTGGCGGAAGAGGGCAAGTCTGAAGAGGCCCTGGCCATTTTGAAGGCGGGGTGATGCCGGTGAGGACGGGAAAATGATGGAGAAAAAGCAGAGAGACACTAGAATTTAATAGAATTTATAGATGTGTAATGAGTTTGAATGATGTTTGAATGATGTTTAGCCTGTTTTTGTTGGGATTAATCGGATAGGTACACTACTTCTTGGGGGATAAAAACCAGAAACTTGGATTGGCAAGTCTGAACCTGAACATTTGGTAAGGCGGATGGATTATGGGCGAGCCATTCGCATCTCAGTTGTTTGGGGGATTGCTGTAGGTAGGTTTTTCTATTCCACCCAAGGTGAAACATGTTTAGCAGTGGGTTAAGTAAATCATCATAAATCATCTATAAATGGCTTATTTGCCATGGCTATGTTAAATAACCAAAGGGTAATTATTATATAGCCATGATGTTTGCCAACTGACTTTCATATTTTTCAGAGGGGTTGAAACATGTTGAAACCACCAACCAGAAAATCGGTTTCCCAATTTCAAACATTTTTCTGTTTGGGTTCCCAGAGAGACACTAGAATTCCCAATTTATTTTCAAAAAAATGATCATCCCGTCATAAATTGGGAATTCTAGTGATGAGATGACCATTTTTCTAGATAATTTGGTTTACACACCATTATAATCCCCATTAACTATTGTTATATCTACCATAAACCATTGTTAAGCCACTTATAAACCAACTGAACGCTATCTTGGGGGCCCCATCCTGTAGATGACCATTTTTTTCAAAACAAAAATAGCGGTTGCGCTACTTGTCTTGTCGACTGATGAGATGCCCATCTCAGGAGGCGCAAGCGTTGGATCCGCAAAACACGGCTTTGAGGGACCAGGCGGCGAAGTTGAACCAACAGGACCAGCATTAATGGACCTATAAATGGGCAGGGCAAAATGGTCCATTTATAGATGATTTAAAGCTACTATTACTTATTATATAATGTCAACCCTGGATTAAAAAACCAAACGGCTGTTTAATTGGGAGGGTACCATTTATGTATCATATTGTGACTATTTGGAGGGTACCCCCTAATTAATAAACCATGGTTTATTAATCCGGGGTTGACATGAACTGCTTCATTTATGGTAGATATTCCTATGTTTTTTCCAATGTTCCTCATATATGATCATCATACTGTTGTGAAACATTGAGAAGACGTCGTAGACGCTCTGAAAATAGATATTGGATGATATTGGCATATGCTGCAGAACGTGTTTTATGTTTCCGGCTCATTTTGTTGCAGGAGATTGCCATACATTACCAAATACTGGCCATGGTTGCGATGATTGGTCTGAAGTTTTGAATCTGCTTGTTGGTGTGGTGGATAGGTGTTTAGGTGTGGATTGGTAGCCTAAGGAAGCATGGTTCGCTGGAACAGAAAGCAGTTCACGGTTCACTCAGAACAAAACCTACTTGTATTTCATATAAGATTCTGTATCCACGGGTTATATATTTGTGACATGGGATGACATGGGTTTCCTCCTTGGGAACTACCCCAAACTCACCAGTTAGCACCTGATCCGCTCCCATCCAGGACTCTCAAAGCAAGTCGGTCACGACGCTGGAGGTGCCCTTCTGAACAACAGCGACGCCAAGAAAAATCATGAGCTGGAAGATGGGATGTTCTACAGCATATTTATCCTCTGGTAATTTAACATAACTATAGAAAATCACCATTGTCAATAGGTAAACCATCTATAAATGGGCCATAATCCATGGCTATGTTAGTTTACCAGAGGGTAGTTATGCTATTTTGGAGTTCCATGTTCCATTTGAGGGTACCCAAATCCGGTTACCGGCAAATGGCATGGCATGGATTGATCAAAACCGGGAGCCCGTTAAATAATGAACCATATCCTTTACTCATCGTGCCAATGGAAACTTCCCCGTTCACAGATGAGTTTCGCATTTACTCTCCTGTAAACTGACATAGATGTGGCCAGGGAAACCATGGTTTTTCGAAGTCTTTCCATGGTTTTTCCAGATCTATGTCAGTTTGCAAGAGGGCAAATGCCCATTTCGGCCACGGGGAATTCCCAGCGGCCCCAAATGAAGGCCTTGAAGTCCCTGAAGCACGATCTGAACGACAGCCTGGAGGTGCTAACATAGCTGGGAAACCCACGAAGAACATGGAGGTTTGAATGGGAATTTTAAGGGTTTTCCCCAGGTATGGCCATTAAAAAATGAAAATGCTGATACTCTATTGTATGGTTTTTGGTCATGTTTTTCTTTCCGGTCATACCATATCTTTGGTTCCGTTTGTTTGGCGTACAAAGAGCTAAAACCTCAGGATGAAATCATGAGAGATTCCGCCTCGTCGACATTTTCTGGTCTGTGTGCTTTATAGCGTCTGGAAAAGTCATGCAGCCTGACAACACGATCACATGACTGGTTGGTGGTTTCAAACATGTTTGATTTCCCATAATATATGGGATAATCCTTCCCATTGACTAATATTTTTCAAGATGGTTCAAACCACCAACCAGATGATGTCAATATTGCTGGTCCAGTTGTGCCTTCTGGTTGGGAGCATGATTGTGGATGTGGGTTCACTTCGCAGAAAAGCACCGCATTTGAACCCCCGGTGAGAACACAATCCAGAGATTCCTATTTCTATTCACTTCACACTTGGTCCAAAAGTTATCCAGTTTTCCAACTTCCAGACATGGGATCTACTTGGACTATGGAGACTACAAAATGGCCTCTCCTGAATTCAATTTCAACTCATGGGCCTGCCGTCATGGCAGATTTGTTGTACCTGGTAACAAATTGCCAAAGAGACCCCTCCCCTGAATACACAAACTGCATGAGTATACTATCCAAACTATATCATGCAACAACACTATCGATAACTAGTACATATACCGACTACACAGTTTAAATTCCATCTTTTTTATGGACAATTTTCGGCCCGTGCCATTTTTGTCAATCGCCAATTACACAGTTTAAAATCCATCTTGATATCACGATTTTCCGTGCGGGAAGTTCCCTATCCAGAATATATAGTACTGTGCCCTATTGATTTAGTACTGTTATATCAATTTAGGGTTACTGCACCATCAGAGTACATATACCAATTACACAATTTAAAAATTCATCTTTATATCAAACCAGTACTTTCAACCATGGTGACTTATATCAATTACGATTTTATTGGGGGTATCATTAAAAAAATAAACAAGCTAAACAACATATCAACTTAGGGTTTATCATTTACCCTCTGGTTATTTAACATAGCTATTGAAAATGGCCATAGAAATAGTGGATTTTCCCATTAAAACCAGTGATTTTCCATAGCTATGTAAACGTTTACCAGAGGGTAAAAAACAGTGAAACAAACACGAAAAAACTCTCCACATTTCGTGGGAGTTCCCGGCCCACGACGTCACGAGGCCAAAGACCTTCTGGGTCTGAAAGCCTTGCTGGAAGAACTGGACGCCCTGCCACTGACCTGGGAGCCTTGGTCGCCTTCCACGAGATGTGCAAGATAGACATGGTACATATATCATATATATCTGACATATATGTGTATATATATACTGTACATAATATATATATATATATATATTATATATATATAACCATAAGTGTATATTTGCATATCTTTGTATTAATCTAGTGTGTAGTAATATGTGTGTATATATATATATATATATTTATTTATTGCATTAAAATACATAGATTTATGTTGGCATGTTGTCTATCTTTGTAAATTGCTTGTTTGTATAGAGAGATAGAGGGATTCATGGATGGATAAATGGACCGACAGACAGACAGATAGATAAATATGTACAGCATATACGTTTATATTTACAAACAGAGAGAGGTATAAAGTAATGGATGGATAGACAGATGGATAGAGAGCTATAGATGTAGAAAAAGCCCGTGCGACGATGAATTTTCATCAACATTGATAGGTTGAATCCACAATTACAGCTCCCTATGCCCTATGACATTTATAATATTTTATCATCAATATGTGTTTCATACACATTCATGTAATACACTTAGGATTAGGAGGGGCCATGGACTTAGAGAACTAGTTACGAGACGTGGGTTACCCAACTATTTTCACTCCATGGCGCATCCCAAAAAAGCCAAGGAAGCTGCAGCCGAGACGAAGATCGGCAAGGAGGCGGTGCTGGGTGTTTTTATAACGACCTCACTGATCTCCCGAACCCTGGAATCATGGTGAATGTATAGGGAAATCATCCCCAAATGGCCCAACAATTCAGGTTGGTGAATTATTGTAATTTACCCAGCATCATCCGCCCAAACAAATCCCGGGTGTCCTATCTTCAGACACACCCAAAAAATATAATAAATACATGTGCTCACCCCCAATGATATCCCATGATATACTGTATGTTACCCTCTGGTAAGCTGTCCCATAACTATGGAAAATCACAATTTGTATTGGGTAAATCATCTATTTCTATGGCCATTTTCAATAGCAAACTGTTAGTTTACCAGAGGGTAGCTGGTTGCTTCTTGCAAGTGCAGGTGGGCCTTTGCGCCAAGCTGTCAGACGCTGCAGTGGCGGAGCTCGCTCAGAGCATTATCGCTAGGCTGCACAAACTCGCCAAGCAGGAACGACCCCTGTGGGTCACTTGGTACCTGCTTAGATTTGCTAGATTTGGTGGTTTTGTTGGGCCATTTTCCCATGGGTTATGCTTACCCTCTGGTAATTTAACATAACTATGGAAAATCACAATTTTTAATGGGAAAATCCACTATAAATGGTCATTTTCAATAGCTATGTAACAAATTACCAGAGGGTAGATTTGCTGGGTTGGTGATGATTTTCCTGCTTAATCATCATGAATCCACCATGGATGAGGAATCCACGGGTTTTTTCGGAAGGCCAATTTCGCAGATATCCAAGGTTTGAGGCTGCTTGCGCAGAATGCAAGTTGTCAGCGAACCAAAAACCCCCATGGAATCTGGAATTTCCCATTGATCAATGGGAATTTCAGGATCCTTATATAGGCCTTATATATGGTAGGTACCTCCATTTTAGGATCCTGAAATTCCCATTGAATTGACTTTTGGATTCCTAACCTAAAAAATGTCAGCCTTTTTCAGCGAAATTGCCCCTTTTTCTCCCAGGTGAGATGAGGAAAGTGACAGACCATCCGAAAGCGTTGGCGGAAAAAATCCACGTGGAGATGAGTCGGTGAAGATATCCCGCAGCTGGTAATGTGGTTGCCACCCTGGCTGCCACAAACCTACCATGTCTGGGGATGGCTATTACCAACAAATGGTGATGACTTGGGGTGGGTTTATGAAAATGCATTACCCTCTGGTAATTTAACATAGCTATTGAAAATGACCATGTATAGTGGATTTTCCCATTGAAAATTGTGATTTTCCATAGCTATGTTAAATTACCAGAGGGTAACCACATTGTAGTTGATAAGGGTCCCTTTGGCAATTTAACATGTCCATGGCAAAGTACCATGTTCATCCATGTTCCTGAACATTTATATAACGGTTGAACAGGACCATTTAAGATGGCTATTTTAAGCCACCAGAGTCTCAGAGGTTGCAGTCCGATAGATTTACCCACATTTGTTTACACATACAATTGCTAGTTCAGTATGTTCGGGGCACAAGCAAACATATGTGCATATTATGACCTCGTTCATATCATATTTTTCAGGTGGATTATAGTGCTAGACAAGCAATTCCACCAGTGGAAAATATGGTTACCCTCTAGTTATCAAACATAGCTATGGAAAATCACAATTTTTAATATGTAAACTATCGAACTAAATAGACCATAATCCATAGCTATGTAACAAATTACCAGAGAGTATCCTTTCTTCTATGGCTTGTGGCATGTTCTCCTGGCCGCGCGGGGCATCTTACTCTATGCTTATCTTCATTGTTTTTTCCTTGCTGAGTTAAAACCCAATAGGCAGTTATTCTTGGGCATAGTTACCCCATTAATTACCCCTATACTTCCTGGTTGGTGGTTTCAAACATGAATTTTATTTTCCATCATATATTGGATGTCATCCTTCCCACTGACTTTCATATTTTTCAATATGGTTAAAACCACCAACCAGGTTCGTTCGGAATTTTTCGATGACTCCCAGATGGTTGCTGGCAGTTGGGAGGGTTTCCCAGTTCGATCGTTCGATCCACCCACTTTGGGCCTCTTGGGATTGGCCACCAGCCATTGGAATACCAGGAATTACCTATTGTTCTTAACAGTAAAATATGGAAATCACCATTCTCAATAGGTAGACCACATGTTATACATAAATGTGCCAAATTGATAGCTTCTTAGTTTACTGGAGTGCTCCCCTCGCCTGTTTTTGTTGTGGCTCTCAGCTGAATTTCACCTTCGGAGCCGCACCAATGAGCTGCTTGGACGACGAAGACCATGATCAAAAAAGTGATTCAACATGATCAGCCTGTTAACCATCTCCAAAATTGATATGTTAACCAACCAAAATTTAGAGTTGTTAATGAAGTCAAGACACAACAGAAAAGGAATTTCGATGATTGAACTAACTCAGAAGAACAAGCACATGAGCATAAAGCTGACAAACCGACAACAATGATGATATTGTTCACCTTAGAACTGCTGGCACTGTCACGTTGTTCTTACAGAAATATACTTCATGCAATTTCGATTGACCAACTTTGATGGGTCGAAGCCGCTCAAACCAGTGGTGCCAGTTGTTTGTCAAATGGTCGACCCCTCCATTTTGATGGGCCGCAATCGCATCCCTAAATCCTGCTTAGAATTTAAACCACCAGCACTTATAAACCTTTTTTTTTATGGCGCTTGGCATTTTAACCGTTATATACTCCCTTTTTAAATATCCACTACACTGTCATTTGTTTATCAAAAGAACATGTTGATGTTGTTGATGACGCGCGGTGCCGTGGTGCCTACCAAGGCATTGCAGATGTCGAGAAGCCTCTGCTGCACCATGAAGAGGAGAAATCCTCGCGCTTGTTGGTGCAGCACCTTGGAACACAAAACCAGTGGATGTTTTGTCGAAAAATGAAGATTCCCAGTAGGCCTGAAGAGAGGAGAGTGTGGTTATATTATGACCGGAGAATTGGATTTTAAACCTATATTAAACCATTTTAAGACTATTCATGTGGTTGGTGGTTTGAACATGTTTTTATTTTTCCATAGGTTGGGAACAATAATCCCAACTGACGAGCTCCATCATTTTTCAGAGGGGTAGGGTTGAAAAAAACCGCCAACCAGCGAGCTGATCATATGTGACATCAACCATCAACCATTTCTTGAGATACCCTCTGGTAAATTAACATAACTATGGAAAATCACCGTTTTCAATGGGAAAACCCACTATAAATGGTCATTTTCAATAGCTATGTTAGTTTACCAGAGGGTATCAACCATCAACCATCATCAACCAAAGAGCCTGGCACCATTTGGCGCCCGGCCCAGGATCGCTTTCGCCATCATTGGCTTAGCCACGTCCGTGCTGTGGAACCAGCTCATGCTATGCGTGGTGGTGCTCACCCAGCAGCTGGGAGCAAAGGGATGGATGTGGATGGATGGAAGGAGAAATATGTAGAGACATATCTAGAGACATACCCTCTGGTAAACTGTCCCATAACTATGGAAAATCACCATTTTGTAATGGGTAAATCAACTATTTCTATGGCAATTTTCAATAGCTATGTTAGTTTACCAGAGGGTACATAGTTACATATAGATAGATAGATAGATTGATAGATTGATAGATAGATTGATAGATTGATTTTGGATGTGATGTTTCTTCGTGCAGTGCTACGCTTCTTGCTTACTGAAGGTGTTGGTTGTGACCACAGATGTTATGATGTTTTGCCGGGAGCTGGCTGGAGTGTACCCCTTGGGACCTTCTGTTGACACCTGAGACATAAAAACCAATACCACTGTTCAATGGTGATGCAATAGGGGCTGGTTCACATTACTATTATTGATTGCAATAAACGAGATACTTGTCAACCAAACAGCTTCCTCTGACAGGTTGGGTAACCCCATAAATATCTTCATATATCGCTGGTTGTAGTATTCTCCCCAATACCCACCACTTTTTTGTTACTGTATATATCTGTATATTTCCTTAATTTTTATCCATTATTCATTGCTTAAATCATGTTCCATCATGTTCCATCTCTATTTTTAATGGTAGAATCAATATTTGTCAGTATCAAATCATCGTTTTTCATGGTAAAATGCCGTTGTTCATGGTAAAATCATCGTTTTTCCATGGCCAAATCCCTGTTTTCCCGGGTGAATCCTCTTCGAATGGCGCCTGGCGGCATCTGCGGAGGCTCTTCGGCAAGTCCGCACTGGCTGAAGCCGCCACGGCGCAGAACGCGTGCTGCGCGGCGGCGATGATGGTCTTGACCTTCGGACAGAGGCGGAGAGGACGAGAGAAGATGAAGATAGAGGACATGATGTATGTAATATATTCTGGTTGGTGGTTTGGAACATTTTTTATTTTCCATATAGTATATGGAATAATCATCCCATATCATCCCAACTGACTAATATGTTTTCAAGATGGTTAAAACCACCAACCAGTATTGTTCGTATGATAATTGTGTTTGGGATATGACTATTATCTTAATATATCTTCAATAGTATTGATGAACATAGTATTCTATTCATGATTAAGGATATGATTAGTATAATTGTACTGTACTAAGAAATCTTAATATTGTTCATATATGTGTAGAATACCTTCAACATGATTTCAATATGTATCGGTTATAATATTGCTCATATATCTTAATATTATCGTATATTATATACAAAGTGGTTTTTTTCTATGATGATGATATTACATGTACCTACGAAATCGTCAGTCTAGAGTCTAGATTTGGTGGCCCAAATGTTTTTGTTGGTATTAGATATGCTTATTCTACAGTACACACATATATATATATATACATATACATATATATATACACATATATATACATATATATAAATATACATTGTGATTTTGGTTACAGTACTAATACACAATACTGTATATGTACAACTGTAAATGCACAGATGATCATATACATGTTATATGTGTATATATGTGTGTATACATTTGTATACATAGAGACTCTAGAGACTTTATACTTAAATCCCATGCACAGCATGGCAGCATGGCTTTGATGCGCCAGGCTATTGCCTGCGGCACAAATGACTGGCAAAGGTCGGTTGCTTCTCTGTGCAGCGAGCTTATTTGCCATGCTCCCTGGCCGGTAGACGAGGGACATGTTGACCTTTTTTTCTGTGTTTGAAGGGGTTGTAGGATATGTTTTGATGTTGATATTAAATAATAAACAACAGGGATACAACAAGAATGGCAATGTAATAGGCAACAACAGGGGGATACAACTCACAAAAAGCTTGGATATAACCAAGTACTGTAAAACATGGATTTATCCAGCTCAAAGACGTTCAACTCTCCATGCCCATTGGTTGTGGTCCCCGGCAGATTGTCAAATCCAGCCATGAAAAACCTTGCGGTCAATTGGGTTGTGACCAATACAGACGACCAAAGCCTAGATAGAATTTGCTATTGACTTTTCTCATCTACTGTGGAAATCCCCTTGGCTTGTGGATGTTTGTGGTTTGTTGCCTTGCTTTAGGCTTGTGCAATCAGATTACAATCACGTCCTTCAAAACAGTCACGATAGACCTAATGAGCCAACCCTCTCTGAGAACTCAGGTTTCTCATAGATTATGATACCCTCCGGAAATTTGTTACATAGCTATTGAAAATGGCCATAGAAATAGTTGATTTACCCATTAAAAATGGTGATTTTCCATCGTTATGTGACAGTTTACCAGAGGCTAATCCCCAATCGATTGAGTAGCAAAACTCTACAACCTCCTAAAAACATCAACATATCATCAACCAAGAGCGGTGTCTTGCAGCCACTCAGGTTTTCTTTTGGCTTCGTTCTGGCCTCCATGGTTTACCACGTCGATGGCGCCCATGAAGTTTTTTTGCTCGTCGTGGCCCTCAATGGGCTTTGTACAGGCCGATGGCCTGTGAGTGATTGGACACCTGGAAATTACGAGGGGAAATCTTACCCACAGCATCCTGGTTTTTTAGGGAACAAATCTAGGGCCCCCCTATATGTATGTGTGTGAGTGTGTATGTGCTGTCACAGGCAGAACTACACATCAATGATATCACATAATCCAACGAATTCTTGATCCTTCTGTGTTTGGTGGGCAAGTATGGGCCAGCTAAGGTCAGGGATCCTATGCCCTTTCAATAGAAAACTGCCCACGGAAAACTGAAATGATACGGCAAAGACCAGGTCGTGGAAAGGGCCTGCGGGAATGGTGTTATTGGTGAAGACATTGAAACACAAACTGCTTGGTGGTTTGGAACATTAATTTTATGACTTTCCATATAATGGGAATGTCATAATCCCAACTGACTTTCATATGTTTCAGAGTGGTTCAAACCACCAACCAGCAAATTTATCAGACATGTGGAATGGTGACTTTAAAACTAAAACTGGCAAGTCTTTCATTGCTGAGTATTCCCTGGCTGGCAGTTGCAGTTGCACATTGCTTAATCGCAACTCCGCAACTCTCCAGTGGCAGAATGAACCATTTAAGATAGATAGATAGACAGATAGATAAATCGATTTCTTGATAGAGAGATAGAGAGATAGATTGATATGCAGACATAGATATACATATACAGATACAATCATATACATATTCGTATCAATATTCCTGTCATTTTCCATTAGGACGTCAGGCTATGCGTGACTCCGACTGCAGCATGAGGTTCCCTCCCAGCGGTGGGTATAGCATTCCACCCAGCAAGGTTGGTGCATTCTAAGACTTAGTCGGTGTGGCCCCTCATAATGGCACAGGTCTTAGACGCTTAGACAGGCGTTTCTGTTGCTTCTCTTAGTTTACTGAAGTTTACTTACCAAGTGTTGAATCACAGCTTCGGCCCCTTCGGCACCAGGAATGTCTCAAAATTTGGCAGCTTCAATTTCAACGATCTACCCAGGAGCGGATGGGCCATGGGCCGGGAGAGGTTTTGGCTTCATAAAGGTGCCAAAACCTTGGGGATAATTGGAAGTCCATGGGGATGAATCCCATCCCCCTAAAAAAACACAAAAACACCCCCAACCCTTTGGAACATCCAGAAACCATGGTTTTTTTGTAGAGGTTTTACACAAGTCTTACACATATAACTGAGACCAGCCCCAGGGCGGGGCAGTTGAATCCTAATGGATGGTAAATCAGCATGAAATCACTAGATGATTCTGAAAAATCATCAATAAAGATCCAGAAAGAGTTTTTTTTGGTTTATTGGATCTTCATGGTTTTTTGGTGACTGTAAATTAGCCATATTCACTCACTAGACTATATTCTATTAATAAATCATCAATAAACCATTAAGATCCATGAAGATCCATTGAGTCCATACGACATCACCGCTGAAAACCCCCAGTCTTCGGTCACGTTTAAAGCTCCGCCAGGCGCCTCTGGAGCTTTGCTTTTCGGTGAGTTTCGGGTCCAAGTTTTGCCGAGGGAACGCTGGCGGTTTCGGAACCAAACAATAGGGGTGGGGGATGCGCACAACCGCGCACCCCACCGAATCCCAACGAAAGAAAGGTGCTGTATGAAGTGGCAACATGAAAACATGAATAATCAGATGTTAATTGATCTGTTGAGTTTACTCTTATTTTCGCTAGATTAAGATGGATCATGGGTTGCAAAGTAGCAAGATGAACATCTCATCCGGGAACAATGATGGCCTCAAATTTCATCATCAAAACAGTGATTCTTTCCACAGAGAACATCATTTTTTCAAGTAACCATCATTAATTAAACCAATACCCTCTGGTTATGACTAACATAGCCATGGAAAATGATGGCCCATAGAAATAGATGATTTTCCCAGCAAACGAAACCTCCATTTAGCCATGGGATTTTCCATGGCTATGTAACAAATAACCAGATGGTAAACCAAGATGTTTCACCCCAGACGGTATCCCAGAATCGATGTCATGCATCCCCCATCATAAAATTGTCGCCATGATGAGCCATTGGACATGGTGATCTTCCCAATTGCTGATCAGCAGATCAGCAATTTGCATTGTCACTATCATCAGTGTTCTCTCTAGGATTTACTATATAGGTATTATGATGTATCATGATTGTTGTGGGCTTGGTATTCTCAACTATAGTACTATATAATCCCTGAAGGTTTGATCAGGTCTCATCCATTTCTGAGGACTATGATTGCCATCATTGTCTAGCAATCCCATAACAATCATTGCCACGATTCAGAATCATCATAGTAAGACATGCTAACATACCAATATAATGATGAATAACATTTAATAAGGGTTATAATATATATATATATACATACACATATTTTTTGGACTATAGTAGTGAAGATGGTTAATATGTTTACATTAAACAACACGTATTTGGACTATAGTAGCAATAATGATGTTCATACTTCAGTTACAACATGCAGGATGCCCCCCCAAGATAGCGTTCAGTTGCCTCTTTAAGTGGCTGAATTCTATGGTTTATGGTAGATATAAATAAATATAGTAGAATATAACTACAGTTCATGGATGTTAATGGGGTTTATCAATCAACAAACATCACCTGATTGGTGGTTTCAAACATTTTTGATTTTCCATGTCATATGTGGGATGTCATCCTTCCCATTGACGAGCTCATATTTTTCAGAGGGGAGGTCAACCACCAACCAGAAAATGATGGAGAATAATGGTACTTAACCAGAAACAATAGGGATTATAGTAGGGACAATGAGGATTAACCATTTATGATATATCCTAATCATATTATTTTCCCAATGATTATCCCAATTATTAAATATATATATGTATTACATGTATCCTAATAGGCTGGGAATCTACTAAAACCACCAACCAGTGAAAAACACCATCCTCCCAGGTCCATGTCGCCCTTGGTAGCTGTGGTCATCTCGTGCATCACGGAGCTGTCCCTGCAACGCAACCAGCGCTTTGCCCAGGCCGTGTCGGACTCGGGAGCTCGGGGCGATCAACTTTGGCGAAAAACCTGGGGAAAAACGTCAACTAGTGAGATCAATGACTGGTTAATGATGGTTAATGACTGGTTAATCGTGGCTAATAGTGATTAATTATCTGGTTGGTGGTGACTGGAACCATGGAATTTTGAATGACTTCCCATTTCATATATGGGATGTCATCCTTCCCATTGACGATCTCCATCATTTTTCAAGATGGGCACATTGCACCACCAACCAGGATTGGGACTGGACCGGCAAAAAACCTGGTGAGTCGTTGCCAAGAAATGATGGGATTTCATCAGGTGTCGAAAACGTTGTAGCCGCTACAGGTTCAGCTCAAAGCCCACTTTTCGTCAGGCGATTATTGCCATCTCTGCCTAGTATTGCGCTCCCCTTTGACTCATGTTTTCCAGCCGGGTTGAAACCACAGTCAAACAATATCGTTTTGAGTTTGCACTAATTGTTGCCTCCTGCTGTTGTTGATATGTTGCTAGGAACACGGTTATCAGTTCTGAGTAACAACTGCATGTATCATATGTATCGCTAGTTCATATAATTATTGATGATATGTCCTGCATCTATATTCATATAGTTTGTACATTTGATGATCTTTAGTTGCCCTCCCTTGTGCACTGGCAATTTGGATCATTTTTTTCGATCATTTCCGAACAGGAAATTTTCAGGGATTTCCATGGCTTTTGTAGGTTTTTTTGGATGACCATCAACCATGTGATCACATCAGGTTGGGGAAAAAAGACAACCACGTTAAACAAACCATGCAATTCCCATTTAACATTGTGCGTTTGAATGCCAAAAAAGTCAACATATCCCCATAGATTGTAAGTTCCGATAAAACTAACACCGTGGTTTACCCTTCTGGTTTCACCAACATAGATTCGTAGAAACGACAAAAAATGCAGATCATTTATGATCATTTTCCAAACGGGAAACCATTGGGGGAAACCCCACATCCTTTAAGCCATGGGATATTTTTTCCAGACATTAAAATGTTGTCGTTCAGTGACTTGTTTGAAAATATGCCAGCCATTGCCAGCCATAGTAGAATGGAAGGTCATAAGAAGAACACAGAAGACCAGAAGATGTTATCATGGTTCATCAACTTAGGTGATTTCTGAAATAAGATATGTCCCACGTTGAACATCAGTCAACCACCTACCCTCTGGTCAACTAACAGTTTGCTATTGAAAATTGCCATAGAAATAGTTGATTTGCCCATGAACAATTGTGATTGTCCATAGTAAAATGGTGATTTTCCGTAGTAACATGTTGATTTTCTATAGTGAAAATGTGATTTCCATTGTTTTTTGTATGTTTTACCAGAGGGTAAAACAGATCACAGAAACTCTCCAGGCAGCGGCCTGGACCTTAGTGCAGGCGCAGGCGTTTGTGGCTCGGCGATGCCTGCGGGGAAGCAGCTTGGAAGCTACGCTTTTCCCAATTTTTATTGAGAAACATGATGGAGAATAATGGTACTTAACCAGAAACAACAGGGATTATAATAGTAGGGATAATGAGGATTAACTATTTATATACTGTATCACTATATATATATATATACTCGTATATAGTAAAATGGTGAGTCAGTTGGAGCTATGAATTGAGTAATGTGTTCGAGTTTGCTGTGCAAACCATGGATTAATGATTAATTCGTTCGATGATTTACCTATCGTGAATGCTGATTTTCCGGTTATGTATGTACATATTTGCCACTACTACTGTAGATATGCATTTGTTTGCGTATGTGCTATATATAAATATACATATGTATATATAAATATACATATGTATATATATATATATATGTTCCAGGTTCGGGGACCCCCCCTCCCCCACCCATGGTCATGGTTCCCCCCTGTGGATGTGGGAGTTGGGTGGGTCCTGTAGGTAGTCTCCCCCCCACGGTCATGGTTCCACCCCTCCCCCCTATGGATGTGGTCCTGTAGGTAGTATAGGTAGTATAGTTAGTTTAGTGTAGGTAGTGTAGGTCCTGTAGGTAGTATAGGTAGTATGGAAATATGAGGTTTTGCATCCAAAATGCTGTACATACCATGGAAATATGACGTTCTCCATCCAAACTGGTGCAAATACCATGGAAATATGAGGTTTTGCATCCAAAATGCTGTAAATACCATGGAAGTGAAAGATTCTAGGTCAGGGAGTAGGGGACCATACCATTGGGGGGGGCTACGGGACCGGGGACCGGGATCATATATATGCGAGTTGCAGATGAAAAAAACACATATGGTTTCAAAATGTTTCAAAGTGCATGTGCATTAGGAGATGGAAAAACACGAAAAGATCGGTTATTTTTGGTTTCCATCTACTTGGGCACTTGTGGAGATGATCGGCACCCTGCCCTGGCCGGGGCTTACACCCCTTAGCTACCTCCGAATTTCATATTAAAGTCTCATATTAGTGACTCCAGACACCCAGAATGAGAGTGTGAAGTTGGAAAATTCATTGGAACATATTGGAACCCCATTATATATCCTATATTGGATGCTAAACTCTATGGTGTCCTCTAACGTTTCCCACCAATCAAAATCCAACACCTTTGGGCCCCCGCTGGAGGTGCTGGTGGCGCTGCTGGCGTGTTTGTACCTTTGGCTACACGGCGATGCTGCGGCAAAGCCCGCGCAGACCGTAGCGGAATGTATCCTTGAAGGCGTCTGGGAAACTGGGTAAGGTGCTAACCTCAAGATAAATATGACCTGAAATGGCTTGGTGTTATGAATTTACCATGCAAGAAATTGACAAAATGTGGGTTTAGTTTTTTTTTCCGGTTTATTGCGTTGGTGATATTTTGGGTTGAGACGTGTTGATCCCGGCTAAATGCAGAGCATTCTAGAGCTAAAGAGAACATTTAATGATGACGGGTAGTTTCGTTCAAAAGCAGATGCTGCTAGCGAGCAGTTTTCTCATGGTTTTCTCTATATGATCCATTTGGAATGAACAAACATCAGGAACTACCAGGGTTCTTTGCAAGGTTCTTTGATGTGTTTTGCTGTCATGACTGGATTGTCTTCCCTTCCAAACCCCTCTACTGAGATAATGTCAAATGACAACACATATATATATATATATGTATATATATATATATTCAATTGAGCAGACGCCATTCCACGTGCTTTTGCTGAATGGCATCCTGAAAAGAATGGTAAGATTGTTTTTCCATTCAAAGCTGGAGTGTTCTTGTGTGATATCATTGTGTCATTTTACATCATGATATCATCAGAATCGCATGTCGGTGCAAATGCTTTTGTTGATAGAGGATAGGGTTACATTCGTCCTCATGATCCTCATGTTTTCTTGCTTACAATTCTCCGCTGCGGCAAAGCGGACAAGGCGGCCCTGCCAGAGAATATGTCCTGCACAGGGTTGCTCAGTGGCTGGGCATCGGATCAGATATTCATCGGTGGGGGAGCTGGCCTGGTGACATAACGGTGACATATAATGTGATCGCAATTGGAAATTGACGCAATGTATAGCTGATCCTCATTGATCATCTGGTTGGTGGCTTGGAACATGTTTTTATTTTTCCATATATTTGGAAGAATCATAATCCCAATTGACGAGCTCCATCATTTTTCAGAGGGGTAGCTCAACCATCAACCAGCTAGCTGATCCTCATCATCCTTTTGCCTATGAAGGTCCGGATTTCATCCAACTCTTCACTGGTGGTGGGGGGTAGCCGCCCATTTGAACATTTACTGATGGAGCTTGGCCAGTCGTTGGCAGCTGAGCGATATGTGGTTTTTTCAGATTTGTTAAGGCCATGGGTTCCTGTTTAATCTGGTTATGACTAACGGTGACTAACGGTTTGCCATGGAAATATCCACCCATTTTAATAGCTAGGTAAACCATCTATTTCGATTAGGGCCATCTATACCATGGCTATGTTAAATAACCAGATGGTAAATTCAAAACTTTCATGATAAAACACACACACACATATAATATATATATATAGATTTAAAAAAAAATATATAAAAATCAAATGTGTTCTTCCCAGCCGCACTGAAGCAGGTTGCTTTGCAACGCAGTGGTTGCCTTCTGCTGTTGCTGCGCCTGGGTCTTTTTACTGCGCCTTGGTGGCGTCGAAAAAAATCGGGTTTGCTATGGAATATTTGCTATGGAATATGTCCCATTCATAGATGATTACCCTCTGGTAAACTAACATAGCTATTGAAAATGTCCATGCATAGTGGATTTATCCATTGAACATGGTGATTTTCTATAGCTATGTTAAATTGCCAGAGGGTAATTATTGGGAAATAGATGTTTACCAACAATAGTTGTTTATCACTTTATCACGATTGATTTATCATAGATGATTACCACTATTGTTGATTTATCATAGACGTTTTTTCCGTGATAAACAACTATAGTATATATCTTATTGTTGATTTATCATAGATGATTTCCCGTGACAAACAACTATTGTTGGTAAACTGTAAAATTGCATTTGCCAGAGGGTAATTCATCAGATGATTTAGAGAGATTCTTGTAAATTAAGAGTTCGACCCTGAAAATCATCCATTGTAAGTGGAAACTTATCTGGAAAACCCCTATCTGGCAGGGTCTATGTTAATTTACTAGACGGTATGTTGGATGGTTAGTGGGATCAATGCTAGTAGGATAATGAGGGGAAATACCTTCCGGAAATCATTCCCGTGTCAAGCGGGGAAATCCGCGGAAGATCATGGGGAAAAAAGTGGATGATTTTCAATCAAACCACATTTGACTACCGGACCCATATGCTCCATGTATGGTTTATTTACTTACATTTGGGTGATTTTTAGGGTAAATGTTGGTAAATATTCCATACATGGAGCATATGGGGGAGGGTAGATATGAACATGTTTAAGAATGTGGGAAAGAAACATAAATAAGAACTATGAATAAGCATGTCGACATGGAACATACACAAAATGAACTTAATAGACATAGTCTGAAATCATTCCCAGATTATTGGGTTTACAACATTGAGTAAACTGAGCATAGAACCAACCCTTTGGGGCTTGCATAAACCCCAAGTTGGGGATAGTTTATCGTTGGTCGCTTGGCCAAGAATTCCCGAAAAGCCAGGGAGACCGGCCTATTAGATCCACCACATTTCTGGTGAAGAAATGGGAAGAAACACCAAAAAGGTCTATGTAAGGGATATGTATTGGAATGGCATATAGCTCAAATGGATTGTCCCGATTTGATTGAATTCTTGAATTGAATTGATTTTTCTTTTCCGTCTATACATGCAGGTCCTGGCTTCATTCTTAGGAGATGGCCTCGAACATTTGCCACGTTCCACCTTCATTGGCTGAGTCGAGTGATTTCAGTGATGCAAAAATTGAGGCACAGTTCTTCAACCTCGTTGTTGGTTGTTTCTCGTTAAGTTTTCGTTAAGTTCTCAGTGGTAGGTTGGCCCCATTTTTTCACAACAGCCAACTGCTTGGCGTCGCCAGCGCCTCGGCTCCAGGTGTACATCGCCCTTCATCGCAGAAGGCCTTTGTGGAAGTAAGGCGCTGTGCATCTTGGACTGGCTTTTGCGCGTTGCACCGCGTTGCACCACGTTGCACATGGGTACCCCGGTACCCCTAGGTACTGTCTGAATGTAGCGGCATCGCCCTTCCAAAAATCCAGACATGCTGAGTTTCATGGGATTTTGTGCTGAAACAGGCTTTCGCTAATTGAGTATCAGTGCAACCCTGCAACCGATCACAACGGTCATGAAAATGCGAGAAGACTCTTGAACAGTTTTCCTTCGACGCGATCCAACATAAATAATTACCCGGAAAGCCGTATTTGCCTATTGTTTCAGGCTACTTTGGCCTGGTAGCCCATTTTTGTGGCACTTTGCAATTCTCACACCAAAAAAAGGTACTTCATCTTTTGCTTCAAACATGACCGTAAAAGTGCCGTAATTATCCGTAAAGTGCCATAAATACCCGTAGAAATCCTACTCCTAAAATGGTACACTTTCCTCCAGTGACCAAAATTTCCGGCACTTTGGAAAGTGCCCAAAACAATGGGCACTGGGCTTTCCAGGTACAGATATATACACAGGATGGGCCCCCCCAGTTATAAGTTGGTTATCCCCCTTATAATATTCCTTATTAAATGGCGCCACCCGGGTGGCGCCATTCATTTCTTATTGAGTCCCGCCCCCCGGGTTAAAATCAAACATGAAATTGCTTATAAAATGGTGTCTTTTGCAATAACGGGTTTGGGAAGATCCCTACTTGAAACTGTCATTTTATAAACCGCCCCTTTTTCTGGGGGCTATAAAATGGCAAACCCCGGTATCTCCTCAGGAGAAAACATGGGGGGCGGGGTCAGCATAAAAAAAATATATTTGTATATTTTTTTACTACATGTTGGGGTTATAAAATCATGGTTCCTTTTAAACTTGTCATGTATAGACTCTAGTTGTCATTTAATAACATTTGGAGAACATTGCCTTATAAAATGATGGTTCGGAATGCTTGTAATGGAGCGGCGGACTGTCATTTATATATTATGCCTATTGTTGTAGCAGTGACCTGAATTGTGGTTTGCCATTTTATAATGTTTCAAAAGCTTTGCAAGATTCATGTTTGTTTTTATTGAATATCCATTATATAAGGTACACTTACTTTGCAAATCTTTGCAATATAAACAATTTCTTTTGATAATTACAGGTTTTACCAGCACAAACTGAGAAAAACATACCCGGAGAATCCCGGAGAAATCAGGTTTGCACAGTTTTTGTTCTTATAAGATGCCCTGGAGGTGCCTTATAGAATGACAGTTTGTCACTTTCAGTATAAATTTGTGATAATTTGTGGAATTTCCACTCCCACCTTATAAAATGTATAAAATGCAATCACCAAAAAAGTAAATTGTCTGGGCCACGATCTATAAGCTGTTTTTTTGGACTCTGGTCTGTCATATTATAAGCTGGCGTTTTTTCTTATAAAATGCTAATTGGAGTTCCCTATATTGCTGTAGCGTTGAGTATCTGCATTCTATAAAGAATTATCCCCATGGAACTCCCATTTCATAAGGAATTTCTTATAAAATGGCGCCCCCCGGGTTCAGCTTAATATTGTAAGGGGGATAGTTGGTTTATAACCCCCTCTAAATATAGTATAATATACTTATAAGTATCATACACTATTGTTATTGTAGCTATAAACCAACTTAGCTAACTATAGGGCCCCATCCTGCAGTATATTCCTTGATGTTCTTGTATTTTCTGGTTAAGACCGTGAAAAAATGACACCCAAGCATTTTGGACCTTGTTTTTTTTGCAGCCCCAGGTAGCAGTTTGCTTCCGCAGCGGATGATTTCCATCTCGAACATGGCAGCAACGTTCGGGCGACTCATGGGCTTGAAGGTGCCAGAACTTTCCCAAAGTGACCGAGAACTTAGATTTGTGTAGGAAAAACGATACAAATGGGGGTCCGGGTTATATATCACTTTATTATATATTTGTTGTTTCCAGTTATATATATATATATGTGTGTGTAAATTAAATCATATATATATATCTTATGAGATGGCAAATGTGACATAGTCTTTGTTTAGTCTTGGATGTGCATCCCAATTACTCGTAATTCGAAGTGCACTCCCAAGCAGTGTGGTCTCCGTGGAAGGATCGAAAACGGCATTTAATTCAGTTACCAGTAAAACGAAATCATGCTTAGTGATTTTTAAGTCTTTTCCCAAATTAACCAATGATTAATTCGTAGTTTACAGGGTGGGTCACAAGGCCGATTTGGATTTCTTGCTTCCAACACTGGGGTGGCAAGATTCCACGCACACACTGCGGAAGAGGATGTTTTGCACTTGGAGAAAATTCAAGAAGGCTAGAATTTGCTGAACATACCAAAATGGGATAAAATGGGCTTCTTTGGGTATATCAGGGTATACCCCTAAACTTACATAAACATCATAAACCTTCCATTTTTCCATGGGAACATGGTCATCACTTCCTTCGCATTTCGGCGAAGGTGGGTACGCAGTGGCTCCCCTCTCTGGTCCTGGAGAGTTTGTTCCTTGTCTCGAAGGTGGCTTCGAGACTTGTAGACAGATCAGCAAGATCTACCCTCCGGTATCAAAGCTATGGAAAATCATCATTCATAGTAGGATATAACAGGTAAATCAACATTAATCAACTATCAATGGGCCATTTTCAATAGCTATGTAACAAATTACCAGAGCGTATTGTGTGTATCGTCATTTTGATGATGCTGGTGATGATGGTGATGATGGTGATGGTGGTGATGATGATGATGGTGATGGTGATGATGATGATGATGATGATGATGATGTTGATGCGGTGTTTGTCTGCCAACATAGATTTCCGCATCATTCCCATGTAATTATTTGCTGGTTTTTGTGATTGGGCCCAAGCATAAAAAGAAAAACAGTAGGAACCCAGGGAAGAGGCACTGATTGCACAATGCTACCCGGTAGCACCGTAGTGAGAAATTTAGAAAGGCTGATAGGCTTGATGCATCCTGATGCTGCAGTTGCTTGATACCGGCGTCGAGCCTTCCGGGCTGAGCCGCCTATCGTTTCACTGACTCGCGCACGGTTGCAAAAAGGACCAAGGAAAAAAATATACACCATCATCGTCCTGTGGCTTTATGAGTTTCTTTTTGATACGGTTTCAACCAATCTATCTCCATTTTTTCTTGGTGATTTGTACGCTGATTTCACTCCAAATCGATGTCCGTTGCCCCTTGTTTTGGTCACCCATTTCTAATGGCCCAAGGATGTTGTTGTGCTTCGTCCTCCTATTGGTGTTCGCATGCATCGGTGGAAGACTGGTGGAAGCTTCGTTCACAGCAGCACTGGCTACGGGGCTGACCATGTTTGGAGGTGCCCTTTGCTGACTGGTCAGGTTGGTGGCTGGCACACAAGGATATTTCATCAGTTTCAATTTTCAGTTGTAGAGAACTGGCTCTGATGTAGCATTCCCTAGTTGATTGATATATGACTTTATTATACTTTATTGATATTGTAATATGATGTTGCTGTTGGTGAAGGGGTCGCGATCAAACCTGCTGATTGCCGTGACTGCGTCGGTCGGAACATCAAATAGGCTCCAATTTGCACGAAAATGCTGTGACCACGGGACAGTTTGTTCAGCTTTGGTATGATTATAATACGGTGTATACCATAATACATACTATATACTAATAATATATATATATATATACCATTGTCCCCTGTGTTGAGCTTAAGTGGCTCTGAATGAGAATTGTTTGCTAATTTTGCTCTTAAGATGGCCAGTATTGGAATTTGCTAACTCCGGCGCCCAAGAAAACATTAGTCATATCCCCATACTTACTGCCCATCGTCTTTCTTTTTCTGGGCTTAAAGTGCCTTCCACTGTGCCAGGACTGACGTTGTGGAGCAACTTCCTTTTGATGCGAAATGACCACAGTGCTCAGAGACTTGGCCGATAGCAACCAGCAAGACGGAAAAGTCAAGTCCTGCCAAATATACCCTCTGGTAAACTGTCACATAGCTATGGAAAATCACCATTTTCAATGGGTAAATCCACTATAAATGTGCCATTTCCAATAGCTATGTAACAAATTCCTCGTACCAGAGAGTAGTGATCAATCTGTTTCTATCTTTGCAGGGGGGGTACTGTAGCTTTTTGATTCACTTTCTCTTCGGTTCAAAGGTGTAACATGGGTTGATTTTCCCATGGGGGATGGCAGTTTTAAGTTTATGAGGATTTAATTAATGATCTATGATTATATCTAATTGATGATTGTGTGGCCATAGGCCATATGATCATACTAAGCTTGCTGTGTATCCCAGTATATCTCATCACCTGATTTACATTTCCAGCAATCCCTTCCCCCCTTAGATTAAATAACTCCGCGACATCCCCAAAATGAATAAATCATCCCCGGCCGGTGATAGCCTATAGAATGTGGATCTTTTACAATTATGAAATGGTTTTCCGGACAGCCATTATATAGGAAGGATGGTTGGGGTGCACTGTGGTCTCCTTTTGCAAGAGTTGGGTTCATCATTTTATAAGGCCCGCACTGCCTACTTGCAAACTCTTCCTTTTTCAAGCATAAACTTTTGCAAAGAAAATCCCTTCACTTTATAGGTGCCAAACGGTTTGGTGAATCAAATCTTATTATAGACACCCCGCTGACCTTTGCAAAGAAATTGTCCTCATTTTATAGGTATATGGTTGTGCTAAGTAGAGCATGGTGCACCATTTTTTGTGATACTAAATTCTATTGATATATATATATGTAATATTTATATTTATGTTGAACATTTGTTGGTTTTGATGTTTTCAAAGAATGTTTGATTTATTTTGAGACGTCATGGGTTGACAAGAATGGGGGGGCAGGGGGATCACCAAAAAAAACATTAAAACAAATTCAAAACATTTTGAAACCCACACTGGCACCTATAAAATGCCTTGCAAAGCTTGTACAGACCGCATTTAGTGTTCAACCAATTTTCCTTTCTTTACCTTTGTCCCAAGACTTTGGAAAAATTACATTATTAGAGTATATTAGAATCAATATTCTGACATGTTATCTGACATTTTCTCTGAGACATATTTTGACATTCTATCTGGCATCTTCTGTAGCATAAAAAATGCATATAAAATAAGCATATTGCAGCACATATTCAAATTCACGAAAAAATGAAGTTTTTTCATTTAATGGTATTGCTAATGGTATATGATCTATAATATTTGAAATATTTATAATATATATTTCTTCACTTTGATTATATTCAACATTGATAATATATATGTTCTACAATATTAATTCTTCAGGTACAACATTTGTCTTAATTTGTTGTATAGATATTTTTTAACTCACAATTAAACATATTATAAGAATACACATATCAAAAAGTAAAGAGCCCATAAAATATCATTTTTAATTTTCAAACGTTACAAAAGTACCTTTTCCTGTTTACGCATTTAAATATGACATGTTTCACTTTCTTGTTGCGGCTTTTCCGCTGTGTCTCTCCCCTATAGCCTTCCCCCTTGGGGCCTTTCCGGGTCGAAGTCCTCGAGCCGCTGGGGCTTCCCCCTTCTTGTGTTACCCGACAGAAAAGAGGCAATGACAGGGTTTTGGTAGCCTGCTTTTTTTAAAGTATTTCTTATTAAGCTGCAAAGGCGAGAACTTTTCGATGCCATGAAAGTAAGAAAGCAAAAATTGGCCGCAAAACTTGTACAGTGTGTTACAGACCGCAGAGTGAATGCTGCACACCCAAGCTACCACCTATAAAATGCCATGCAAAGCTTGTACAGACCGCAGAGTGAATGCTGCACACCCAAGCTACCACCTATAAAATGCCATGCAAAGCTTGTACAGACCGCAGAGTGAATGCTGCACACCCAAGCTACCACCTATAAAATGCCATGCAAAGCTTGTACAGACCGCAGAGTGAATGCTGCACACCCAAGCTACCACCTATAAAATGCCATGCAAAGCTTGTACAGACCGCAGAGTGAATGCTGCACACCCAAGCTACCACCTATAAAATGCCATGCAAAGCTTGTACAGACCGCAGAGTGAATGCTGCACACCCAAGCTACCACCTATAAAATGCCATGCAAAGCTTGTACAGACCGCAGAGTGAATGCTGCACACCCAAGCTACCACCTATAAAATGCCATGCAAAGCTTGTACAGACCGCAGAGTGAATGCTGCACACCCAAGCTACCACCTATAAAATGCCATGCAAAGCTTGTACAGACCGCAGAGTGAATGCTGCACACCCAAGCTACCACCTATAAAATGCCATGCAAAGCTTGTACAGACCGCAGAGTGAATGCTGCACACCCAAGCTACCACCTATAAAATGCCATGCAAAGCTTGTACAGACCGCAGAGTGAATGCTGCACACCCAAGCTACCACCTATAAAATGCCATGCAAAGCTTGTACAGACCGCAGAGTGAATGCTGCACACCCAAGCTACCACCTATAAAATGCCATGCAAAGCTTGTACAGACCGCAGAGTGAATGCTGCACACCCAAGCTACCACCTATAAAATGCCATGCAAAGCTTGTACAGACCGCAGAGTGAATGCTGCACACCCAAGCTACCACCTATAAAATGCCATGCAAAGCTTGTACAGACCGCAGAGTGAATGCTGCACACCCAAGCTACCACCTATAAAATGCCATGCAAAGCTTGTACAGACCGCAGAGTGAATGCTGCACACCCAAGCTACCACCTATAAAATGCCATGCAAAGCTTGTACAGACCGCAGAGTGAATGCTGCACACCCAAGCTACCACCTATAAAATGCCATGCAAAGCTTGTACAGACCGCAGAGTGAATGCTGCACACCCAAACTGCCCACCTATAAAATGCCATGCAAAGCTTGTACAGGACGCAGAGTATTACAGGAGCTATTTCATAATGTTCCTAATTCCATTTTATAGGTGACTTGTTGGGCGTTTGTCTTACATCCCAACTACCCCCTCCAACTTGAGCAGTAACATTTTATAGACTATATTTTTGCTGTGGTCAATATCACTGTTAACCTTTGCAAAAGAAGTTGGGTCATAATATAGGAAGGTATGTGTTCATGATGGTTTTGCTTTGCACCTCATTTCATAGAGAGAATGTATGGGTCTACACCTTAGCTTTTCATTTTATAGAGCTATTTTTCCTATAGAATGAGGGGGGCAAAGGTCCCTAGGCAACACTAAGGGAGGATAATAAATCCACTATTAAGCCATGGTTTCTCGAGGTATTGAATATCATGTAGGGGGACAAGGGGGACGGGATTCCTAGTTTGCTAAGTTGGTTTTGTTCACTAGTTGGTTTAGTTTGGCCAAGTTTGCTAAGCATTCCCATTCTATTCCATTCATTTTTTGGGTTAAATATATTTAAATATCATTGCCATCAAATTGCTGGTTGAATTCCCACCAAATGTCTATTGCCATTTATATCATATTATATCATATTATATCATACCATTTTGTATATCATACTATGATATATTATATCTCAATATTCATTGGTTAAGGCGGGTTAAATCGTTAAATCCCATTGTTTCTCATGTAGTTCCCGTGGCACAAGCCGCAAAAACACCTGGCTACCCTGGCGACGGCTACAACGCCCAGGAAGAGCTGTGGACATAGTGTGATTCTCCCTTGCCACGTCACTACAGAGGCCGATCTTTCAGTGGGAAGAAGCTCTTCCAAACCAGAATGGTTTGATGTATACCGACCGCCTGAAAGATAGAATATTTTTCACTACCAGACACGCGAGTGAGAAAATTACCATCGGCCTCCCACTCGGAAAAAACACCACAAGATAGAATATTAATATAGAATATTCACAAAAATTCACAGAACACCCCCTTGAATATTCTATCTTGTCAATTTCGTGCATGCCTGTGCAGAAAACTTTGAAACTACTGATGATTTTTGAAGCAACAGGGTGCTACTGTGAAATGATGTTAAACAAATTCTGCTGTGGGATTTCCAACAATTCTGAATCCAACATGTTCCAATATGGGAACACCCCCTTGAATATTCTATCTTGTCAATTTCGTGCATGCCTGTGCAGAAAACTACTGATGATTTTTGAAGCAACAGGACGCCAAGTCAACATGCCAGAAAAAACAAGGAAACATGATGAAAAATAGAGGAAAAAACAATGAACAATGATGAACAAGAGAGAACAAAACAAGAAAAAATGATGAAACAGAGTGAAAAAAAATGAAACATGATGAAAAAGAGATAAACAAACAAGGAAACATTATGAAAAAAAGAGAAGCAACAATGAAAAATGATGAAAAAAAGTGAAAAAAACAATGAAACATGATGAAAAAGAGAGAACAAACACTGAAAAATGATGAAGCCGATTAAACATATGGAAAAAGACAATGAAAAATGATGAAACATAGAGACAAAACAATGAAAAATGATGAAACAGAGAGAAAAAACAATGAACAATGATGAAAAAGAGAGAAAAAAACAATGAACAATGATGAAAAAGAGAGAACAAACAATGAAACATGATGAAAAAGAGAGAAAAAACAATGAAAAATAATAAAAAAGAGAGAAACAACAATGAACAATTATGAAAAATAGAGAAAAAACAATGAACAATGATGAAAACGAGAGAACAACCAATGAAACATGATGAAAAAGATAGAAAAACAATGAAAAAATGCTGAACAAGAGAGAAAAAGCAAGAAAAACTGATGAAAAAGAGTGAAAAAAACAATCAAACATGATGAATTAAAGGACCGGATAACCCCACAAGTCAACTTCTTCCAACAAGCAACAAAAGAAAGGCAAAGACGGCATGGGGTAAGCAAGAAAGAGAAAAGAGATGGTGAAGGATTGGTGTGGAGTAAGTTATGTGTGGACGAGTATGTGTGAGTAAGTTGTGTATGGATGAGTTGTGTTTGTGTGTGAGGTGTGTGTGTGTGCGAGTATGTGTGTGTGGTGTGCGGCCACGATCAAAGATGCCCCACGCCAGGAAGTGCGGCGAAGGGCAATCGATGCGTGACCATTGATTATGTGTCCGCAAACGTACAGCGCAGACCATCACGAAAACGGATGGCCCACGACTGGCGTTTGGATGATGTGTGTGTGTGGGTGTGTGTGTGTGTGCGTGGGCGTGTATGTGTGCGTGCGTGCGTGCGTGTGTGTGTGTATGTGTGTGTGTTTGTCTGTGTGTGTGTGTTTGTCTGTGTGTGTGTGTTTGTCTGTGTGTGTGTGTGTGGGTGTTTGTCTGTGTGTGTGTGTATGTGTGTGTGTCTGTGTGTGTGTGTGAGTGCGGGTGTCGGCGTGGACCATGTACGCGATGAGGTCAGTACCTGGCAGGTAGTATCAGAAGATGCGATCACGCTGAAATTGCAACAAAACAGCTGTCCATGGGCAGTGCAGAATTTAGCCTACAACGCTCCTGTTCCTCTTGGCTTGTCAACTACTGCCCCACGACACCGGTGCAGACAAGCGCATGAGAAGCAAACACAGCTGCACCTTTCGAAGTTTTGCCGCTATGATTCATCGGATAACGCATTTGCTTCTCGCATCAACTATCGCACAGTGCTTCAATGTGGCCACAGGAGCTATGGAAACTACCTTGCCTCAATCCATCGGATGACACACTTCCTTCTCGAACAACTGTCGCAGTGTGATAAACTCTCTTCAAGAGGAGAGGCATCATCTTTGCACGGTGCATCAATGTGCCCACACAAGCCGTTAACACAAACTTCAATATCGCAGGCATCATCTTCGCACATTGCATCAATGCGCCCACGACAGCTGTTGACAGTGTACCATCCCATGACATGAAGCTCTCGCGACATCTGCCTACATGTACATGGCATCATAAGGCAGTAGAGCAAAATACAAATAATGGTAGCTACCTCGCCTCAATTCATCGGATGACACACTTCCTTCTCGTAACAACTGTCGCACTCTGATAAACTTTCTTCAGCAGGCATCATCTTCGCACAGCGCATCAATGTGCCGACACAAGCTGTTAGTATAAACCTCGCTATCGCAGGCATCATCTTCGCACATTGCATCAATGCGCCCACGACAGCTGTTGACAGTGACATACAAATAGCTGCAACTGTTTGCACAGAACCTGTTCTGAGCTGGGACGAACGCCATCTTTTCTTTCGATCGCATTTGCATCGTGTTCAGGAGCATATAGTGTTTGTCCTTGCGCAACTGCTGAATGCTTTTTGCAAATGCCATGCCACCGTTCTTCAAGAAATTGTACGATGCGTTCCGCTGATCAGTCAAACGAGAAATCGTACAGATCTCCACGATTTCGCGTTGAACCGATCAACATAATGCTTCGTACAACTTTTTGAAAATGGTGGCATGGCATTTGCCAAAAGCATTCAGCAGTTATGGAAGGAGGACTTAGCATCAAATGTATCTTCGCACGGCGCGTCAATCGATAAAGAGCATATAGTCTTTGTTCTCAACTCCCAGTTTGTAAGTACGTCCGAGACCAAAAAGGAGTAGATGAAAATCCAGAAACAGTTTCTATCCAGTCTGCCTGTAGTGATACCATTCTGGCAGACTGCATGCATGCTTTCCAGTGCTCCGACAGCTGTTATACCGCAAGAGTCTGCATCCGGTCTGCAGTGACACTGCAAACCGTTATCCACGTGCCTCGATTGCATCAAACCTTGACGCAGAGCAAACACAGGAAACCCAGGGTCTTTGCCTGGACCGTCCAGCCACAGACGCTGGGAACTGACTCGCAAGGTCGAACTGATGCTGTATCTGTAACTGTTCCTGAAGATTCGGTGGCAGAATTGATTCTGCACTGCTCACGCACGTCAGCTCTCACCCGCGCGACCCGGCCCAACCCGCTCGCGGACCCAGGGCTGCGCCGGGCAGACCGTCGAGGCTGAAAAAAAAAAGCAGTTGCATGTTGAGTGGTTCAGCATGCAAAGTGCCGCGGTGTCACAGGCGCCAAATCCGGGCCCAAGGGCGCCACCCAGTACCATAAGTGCCACGCCTGCCACGCAAAACGACGGTGGATGTGAGTTTGTGCCACGAAATGACCTATTCACTTCACTGACTAGTTGTTGTGGATGTGAGTTTGTGCCACGCCTGCCACGTGAAACGACGGTGGATGTGAGGTTGTGCCACGCCTGCCACGCAAAGTGACGCGGCGTCACAGGCGCCAAATCCGGGCCCAAGGGCGCCTCCCAGTACCATAAGTGCCACGCCTGCCACGCAAAACGACGGTGGATGTGAGTTTGTGCCACGCCTGCCACGCAAAGTGCCGCGGCGTCACAGGCGCCAAATCCCGGCCCAAGCGCGCCACGTAGTACCATAAGTGCCACGCCTGCCACGCCAAACGACGGTGGATGTGAGTTTGTGCCACGCCTGCCACGTGAAACGAAGGTGGATGTCAGGTTGTGCCACGCCTGCCACGCAAAGTGCCGCGGCGTCACAGGCGCCAAATCCCGGCCCAAGGGCGCCACCCAGTACCATAAGTGCCACGCCTGCCACGCAAAACGACGGTGGATGTGAGTTTGTGGCCACGCCTGCCCACGTGAAACGACAGTGGTATGTGAGGTTGTGCCAACGCCTGCCCGCAAAGTCCCGCGGCGTCACAGGCGCCAAATCCGGGCCCAAGGGCGCCACCCAGTACCATAAGTGTCACGCCTGCCACGCAAAACGACGGTGGATGTGAGTTTGTGCCACGCCTGCCACGTGAAACGAAGGTGGATGTCAGGTTGTGCCACGCCTGCGTGTGTGTGCGTGTGTGTGCGTGTGTGTGCGTGTGTGTGTGTGTGTGGGTGTGTGTGCGTGTGTGCGTGCGTGTGTGGGTGTGTGTGTGTGTGTGTCTGTGTGTGTGTGTGTGCGTGTGTGCGTGCGTGTGTGTGTGTGTGTGTATGTGTGTGTGTGTGTGTCTGTGTGTGTGTGTGGACAAAGTGTGTGTTGATAAAGTGTGTGTGGACAAAGTGTGTGTGGACAAAGTGTGTGTTGATAAAGTGTGTGTTGATAAAGTGTGTGTTGATAAAGTGTGTGTGTGTGTGTCTGTGTGTGTGTGGACAAAGTGTGTGTTGATAAAGTGTGTGTGGACAAAGTGTGTGTGGACAAAGTGTGTGTTGATAAAGTGTGTGTTGATAAAGTGTGTGTGGACAAAGTGTGTGTGGACAAAGTGTGTGTTGATAAAGTGTGTGTGGACAAAGTGTGTGTGGACAAAGTGTGTGTTGATAAAGTGTGTGTTGATAAAGTGTGTGTGGACAAAGTGTGTGGTGTGGACAAAGTGTGTGTTGATAAAGTGTGTGTTGATAAAGTGTGTGGACAAAGTGTGTGTGGACAAAGTGTGTGTTGATAAAGTGTGTGTTGATAAAGTGTGTGGACAAAGTGTGTGTGGACAAAGTGTGTGTGGACAAAGTGTGTGTGGACTAAGTGTGTGTTGATAAAGTGTGTGTGGACAAAGTGTTGGAGGGCGGGAGGAGGAGGAGGCGGCGGAGGAGGCGGAGCCCGGGATACAGAATCAAAAACAAGAACCCCACACAAAGATGTGGGGAAAAAGAGAGAAAAAACACTGAACAATGATGAAAAAAATGGCAAAAACAATGAAAAATGATGACCAAGAGAGGAAAAAACAAAAAACACTGGTGAAAAAAGTGAAAAAAAACAATGAAACATGATGAAAAAGAGAAAAAC